ATGTTTCGCTAAATTAATCATGCCTTTGAAAAAAAAATTAAAAAAATTCATTTTAATGCATTCTCGAAATGTGTGGCAAAAATCGATCGGAATTTTTCAAATTCTCCTCATTATAAATTTTTTAGGGAAAAGGAAAATCGCGAAAAACAAAAAACATCCGATTTCGGCCTTCCTTAAGCCTTCCTTTAGCCTACAATTAAAGCTGCTATCCTCACTTTGATGAATCCTTTAATGCAGCAATCACTTTGCCAATTTTGAATTTATCTGATTCAATTTGAATTTAATTTATCTCAATTTGCAGATATTTGTTTCACTAATTAATATTTGTTACACGAAATCTCTTAAAATTTTTATGATTCATTGCTTCATTTTATTTTCCATTCAATTTTTCCTTATTCAATTTTCGAAATTATTAATAAATTTTATGAAAATGTAAATTTCAAATGAACAGGAAAGAAACAATTAAATGAATTTCTTTTTTCGATATTCTTTTTTTGTGGTTTTAGCGAATTTAGTAATTGATTAGAGAAATTTTGGTGAAAAACAGAAGATAATAGTATTTTTATTTAAAAAGAGCTAAATTTATGCCAAAAGAATACATTTTTAGAGAAATAATCATTTTTAAAGGAATTAACCAGGAAATCTTTAATTAAAAAAAAATTCAATGAAAATCGGAGAATATTTGGCGTTGAGAAAGACGGTTAGCAATGAATTATAGAAGAATACGAATGCGAAAAATTCAAGCAAAATGTCCTCTGAAATCAGTTTTATCAGTTTTTTTCTAATTATAAAAATTAGTGAATAACGAATGCCAAAATCATTATCACTTATCATCTTATCACTTAGCTTTATATTGAAATATCGAAAAAATATATCGAAAAATTACGAATGATGAATCGAATATATTGCAAAAGTAAATAAGTGACAAGCACTCGCCATTTCGCTATATTCGATTACTGTTAATACGGCCGGAAATTTTTTATCAACGAGCCATTAGCGATAGAAGCACAGAAGTAAGGTAGCCAGCACAATCACTTAGATTTTTAATGGCAATTACTTTTGTCGGAAGAGAAAATCGAAACACTGACACTAGCACTCGCAGCACGATAATCTCAGCTATTAATCACTTGGTTATCAGTTAAAACAATTAGTTTTTTAAAAGAGTACTCACCATTACTAGTTTGACAGACTTCTTCCTCTGGCTTTTCTGCTTTTCACACTAAATAAATTTTTCCTGCGAGTCCTTTAGCGATGGAAATATAGGTAGGTCGCATCACTCGGATAGAATCCGGATTTGAGCAGGTCTATTTCTGCCAGAAAAGAACTTCAACATCAGTATTCTTCCGAATTGGCCAATAACCCACTGAGCCATTCTATTCTCCTTTGCTTTCTCGGTTAAGCGACATCGAACTCAAGCCTCGATTCTCGGTGGCAATTATCTTGCCATTGAGCCAGCGGCGGTATTATCAGTAGTATTATCAGTGCAAAATAATCAATTACTAATGGAAGAAAAAAAATTTGCCACAGACTTGAAAATATATTGCAATATAAGAATTGAAATTTTTCTTGAGAAAAGTATTTTTAAAAGTATTTTAAGTATTTTAAAACTATTTTAAAAAATAACAATTTTTTACCAATTTGCCAATAATATTCTAAAATCCTTGTTTATTATAAACATGTGGGCATTTGAATTATCAACTTAATTATCAACTTATCTTACTACAGTTCTATCAGTTGGCTTATATCTCTTACAATATTTGTTTAGTTTGACCATAATATTGCTGGAACAATTGTTACTTACAAAAACAATTGTCAGTTGCTTGCATCTTTTATTACTTCACAATATATTCCTATTTATTTCTATTTTTTTTTTCACTGATGATTTAGTGCCAAAGTTCTTGAACCTTTTCGAATACTTTTTTGCAGAATTTTTTTTCGATGTCCATTTGGCTTTGCTGTTGACTAGAAAATTTATTGCAATATAAGACCAAATTGAACTTTAAACCAAATATTTTAGGAATAAAACGCAAAAATAGTTCACTGGTAATTCCAATATCACTAAATTTTTACAAATTTTTTTTTAATTGTCGATCATTTCCTTCTTCATTTATTGATGATTTAGATTATCAATAATTACAGATTATTTATTTTTAGTAGTAATGGATATCAAAATTATTTGCAATATTGGGATTGGATTTAGAAAAAAATAATAAAGGATTATTCGTAAAAAATGCTAAAATTTTTTATTTGCCACATGGTTGGAGGAAATATAATAAATTTTAATGATAAGCAATCAGATAATGGATAAATAGTCAGTGATGAGGCATTTGTTTGCTTAAACAATTTTAAAGCAATTTTTTCATCATTCCATATTTATTTTTTGAAATTTACCTTTCGAATACACACTTTCACTCAACAATCTGTTCTTTAGAATTTAAATCGCTCTAAATCGTTCTAATTTTTAAACCACTCATGAAAAGCTTTATAATCCTTTGCATGACAATTTAGAGTGGAGGATAGAAAAAAGGATTAGCCTATAGTATTTCACATAATTGAAAAAAATGTGTAGATATTATTATCTGTAGTTAAAATTATGCAATACACTGGTGATTACCAACTTTGTTTTTTATAAAGTGCATATAAAACAAAACAAAATTTCATAAAGCAAAAAAATTTCCATAAAACTAAAACATGCATCTCTGCAATTTCCAGGATTTCTTATTCGTTATACGGCAGCGAAGATGGTGCAACAATGAATTATGGTCCTAAGATTGTATTTAGTAACCACCATTTGCTTATTATTTAATTATTTCTTTATAATTTAATATAATTTTGATCTTATTATTTAAAAAATGGCACTAGTAAGCTAAAATGATATTAAGCGCTTCTTATAAAATTATTACCAAAAATGATATTCCTTGAAAGGATTTAAAATAAAGGTTTTGCAATATGAAAAAGCGAAGAGGAGGAAGTCAATGCGTTCTGAAGAAATTTCTATAAAAATTTCTATAAAAATGAAATATAAGTTTCGCAAAATTAAAACCAATTAAAATCTGGAAAAATAACAAAATATTAATTAACATACCACGATGCTCGATGCTACGATTGCACGTTCATTACTTACGTCGAAAATTTTTTTGGTGAAAAACCAAGAAAAAGTTTCAAAAAACAACTTTGAACTGATTGCAGTCGAGAAATCTCCATTATTCATTTTATTAACGTATTAAAGCAATCAATCAACCATTGAGTTATTCACTAATACGAAAACCTGAAATTCGCTTTCTATAAGTCATTTCAGCTAAAATTGAAATGTCGAAAACGTAAATTTGATGGAATTTATTTCGAAAAAAATACTTTCATATTTTATAAAATTGTTTTGAGCAAATGAAAATCATTAAGCATCTTCGATTATCGCAATAGCTATCTCAAAAGCGTTCCTCCATTCCATTAAAGTTGCTTTCTTGACAAAATTCTTGCAAATTTGTTCATGAAACATGCAGTTTAAATCGAAATAAATAAAGATTTATAACTTCAAATTATGCTTTAAATTGTCGTAAATATATTATCTTCAATATATATGCTTGTTTTATAAAATTAATCTTTAATTTTTTTTTCAATTTTTTAAATTTTAGCGTTTTTTTCTTGGAAACAAATTTTTCATCTTCAGATTTATAGATTTTGCTTTCCCTAATATCTCATTAAATAAAGTTCATTGAGATGAAATATGTTTGTTGTTAAAAAATTGATATAATGATATAGATTGTTGTACATAATATTTGATGGTTATAGTCCGTGAAAAAATGGAACCACAAAGTTGAGTTTTTTAGATTGTTCGGTTCAATTCAATTACATCATAAAAGCATCATTGATATTTGATAGAAATACAAAAAAAATTGTCTTCATTTTTATAGCTTAAAATGTTGATGGACCATTTATATTAGAAAGTTTAAAGTTTAAAATAAAAAATTTTTTAAAATTTTTAATTCAATTTTGTTTATTGAAAATGCAACATTCTTTGAGCGGCAATAGAGGAGAATAGAAGAATAAGCCAAATATCCAAAGTTCGAGCGAGTCTGTCTGACAAACTTTTTAATTTTTATGCGATAATAATAGTGGTAAGAATAAATCGAAAAGAAATATTTAGGTTCAATATTAGAAAAGATGAAGAAAATTGTAACGACTGCGAAACTCGAACAGTTGCAGAAGAAAAGCGTGGGTCCGTCCACTTGATAAAGCAACAACAGCTGTATTGCAGTAGCTCCACACATTATAACGCGTAGAAATATAAATTCAGCTTATCTTGTTCTCCTTTATTCAAAATTTTCTTGCTTTTTTCAATTTTTCATAATATTTGTTTATATTTGTTTACTTATGAATTTTGGCTCAGTCGGTTGTTGCTTAATTCGGAGCGCTGACGCTGAGATACTACTCCTTGTTGGAGTAAATCGATCTAAAAATCCGGGTGATGCTGGCGATTCACCTGTATTTCTATGAATGAATATTATTAAAAATCGCCAAGGGACTTCCTCGGCATATTTGTCTTGTACGACAAACCAATGGAGCGAGTCTGATCGATAATGATGCGGATTCCTCAGAAAAGCAACTATCCTGAAAAGATCTTCAAAAATTTGGAAGGACTAAACCAAAATGCAAAAACTGCCTGCAGGAGTATCCAAAAATTCATAAGCAATGAATTTCAATTAAGAATATCGTCTTTTTCAATTTCAATTTTACTACACTCGCAAACTATTTTATATTATTGTTTTATAAGTTTTATGGTCGATTAAAAGCACTATTAAATGCATTTTTCGGTATATCTATAAATGCAGCTTATGCCATTGAATTTTATAACCATATGAAAGTTCATTGTCTTTAGATTTATTAATGTGTTATGCTCAATTTAAAATTCCGAACTTCATTTTCTTTGTTTCACTTAAAAATCTCGCCCAAAATGAATTTCAGATTGCACCTTAATAGCTTCAAAGCGAAATTTATCTTGGATGGCTCAAACTGAAATGGTAACGGTGCGAATGTCCCGGGGACAACTTTCCACGCCCTGGGGCTTTGAAATTATTCATCCTCTTACTATTCATAATGTAATTTTTTCTATTAAACTATGATTTTTTTCTATGATATTTCTATATGATTTTTTTATGATAAATTCTATAATTTTCGATTTAAATGCAGATTTAACTGATTTCATGATTTTCTCAAATTAGGTCATGAATTTTAATACTTTTTTTCCATTGTGTGCTTCCTTAGTTGCAATGGTACCTTTGCTGCCATTCTAGTAGATTGCTGCTCTTATAAAGATGCGATATCAAAGTTCTCTTTACAGTAGAAATAAACCTGTCCTTCAAAAATGCAAGTGATCCATCTGTGTTTCTATCGTCAAGTGGCGCCATAACATTATTGTCTGGACCGACTAAACTATTGAAACAAGCTTTACTAGAAAAAAAAATTATTAAAAAATGATAAGTTCAAGAAATAAGAATACTTAGAAATAGATCATATATTTGTCGATTTGTTGGTTAATTTTCAATCTTTTTTTTTTCATTTCCGGTCTAATTTGAATGAATCGAAATAATTCAGATAGTTAGTGGATCATTAGCAGATCGAGCTGGTTTAATCAATGGCGATAAACTTGTCGAATTTGAAGGCCATGAAAATTTAGATACAACATTAGCTAAACAATTACTCAGCAAGGCGCAAAATAAAATCGAATTGGTCATACATAGGTTGGTTGATGATGATTTATTTAATTTAATTAAATTTATAAACTTTTGAATTCTATGGATTGGACGGATTCTGGATTCTCAAAAAATCCTTCTTCTCATTAAGCATTAAGCAAACATACGCATACATGCATGTACAGTTCTATTTTCTGTTAAGCACTGCTATATCACTGATAAATCGCTTAAATCCTCTTAAATATTTTTCATTTTAAATGATATAAATATTAAATGGAAACTTTTCGAAGTGTCGTTCTATTTTTTAACAGAAAAAAAATTCATTCGATCAGTAGACACTCCGCCCGATTTTTTTGTTTAAATTATGTTTTCAATTTTCAAAATTTCTTTTTATTATATTATTTCCCATTTCAAAAACGTTCCTTTTTTTATGAAACTTTTATTTTACTTTTTATTTTTTATTTATTTTATTTTTTGTCGCATTATTTCCAAATATTTTTCGTAAAAAATAGCCAAATTCGATAAAAATTTGACAAATAAATTTAGTTTTAAGTTTTTAGTATTTCTAAAAAATATCATTCAATGAGACTTTAGGGACGGAAGTTCAATGCATCGAACTTGGAAACCAAAAATTACCGAGAACACAACGCATTTTAATAAATTTCAACACTCAGTGCATTACAGTGGGGATGATGAAAAGTACAGTAAGGATCACTCTTCGGATCACTCGACAAGTGTTCCATTAAAAGTCTCATTAGAGCATCAGAATCAGGTTATTGGCAGTTTTTCTAATCAAAGTATAGATTTTTGTTTATTTTTGAAATATTTGCCATTGATTGAGCGCTCTGCATGTTAGTCGAAATAATTTTTAAAAATTACTACTTTTAAGTAAAAATTTTATTTTTTCAATTTATTTATTTTGATTTTCTCTTTGCATATAAATGTTTATACGAAAATTGCGCAAATTCTAATTTTAACACCATAATTTTTTTCTTCTTTATGTGGCATAAAATATTTTTGATTTGGCTTCGAATCTTTGCCAAAAATCATTTGAAGACGCGCGTAAATGTGCTGCTAGTAGCCACTCGGATTTCGCTTTTAATGATAATTTACTCCCAGCCAAAGAATAGAATCCATGCCGCTTATATAATAGATGTAGGAAATTGTAAAGCATCTTAGCTGGAAGATTTCAGAATGCGATCGGTATTCCTGGTTTTAATGTTTCTGCACAACCATTTGGAGATCATAAGGAAGTGAAACATCTTCAATATAATTCGCCTATGCCGTTATATTCACCTCAGTCTGCTGCTGAACAATATCTACAACAGACTGGAGGCTTATTTGGAACAGAGTTCGAATTCTTCTCTTTTTGGAGAACTTCTCATGATGACCTTGATGAATTCTTATTCTCATAAAGTTCAGTGCAATGATAACGACCTTGATTCAAGCGATAACGCTATTTAGAAATTTCTTTTGACCCACTTTTAATTCATTTCTATTTACAAAATTTCTGTTTTTAAGTTATATATCTGACGATATTCATCACTTTTAGTTCTTCAAAAAATATTTAATTAAAAATATTTTTTGCAGTCCAAATCTCATAAAATCTTATAAAGAAGAACCATCATATCTTCGGTCCGAAACATTGCGTCTTATCCAAGAGAATGAAGGAAAACAAAAAATCAGTCCAATGATGCGATCAGTAGAGCCGCCAATATACAATAAAAGTTTGCCTTAAGCAATTGAATTCAAAGTTGCAAAATTTTTAAATTTACATTTAAAAATTAATATTTAAATTAATATTAATTAATATTTAAAATATTTAAAAATTAATATCGCTTTTTTTTCTCGAGATTTTTTCGAAAAATTAAAGAATTTTCGTCCATTTTATGAAATTTTTTCGCTCAAATATTTCATTTTGTCATGATTTTTCCATTTTCAAACATTGTCACTCAATACCATTTATTCTTTTTTTCCATTTACTCCAATCACATTTCGTGATTTTGCTTTTTGGATTATCATTGGATTTCTGCAAAACGTGTGCTTTCGTGCTTTCTTTGAAAATTTAACTATATTCAACCGAAGCATTAAAGCCTTTTGTGATCCTCTAAAGCGATATTGAACTATCGATATACCCTTAGAGAAATCTAATTTATGACGAAGCTAACGATTCTTCATAATCGTTTAATAATTCCATTAAATGGTTGGCACTTAACATTCTTAGTTGCACTTTCACTTCATTCACTGACTAGCATGAGGCAGTTTTGCAAGAGAGGTGCGTGGAGATAAAAGTGAAGACGAAGTTTGAAATCACCATCATAATTCACAATTCTTTTTATTATTTGATAACAATGACATTAATCACTGATAGCCGATTGCACATTAAAAAATTTACAGATAAGATAAATGGAAAAATGGTTTAATAAAGAAATATCTGTGATAATATCTGTGATAACATGATTTAATAAGAGCAGCAATGGTGTGACTATCAAACGATTCCATATAACAATTTAATCCTCTTACAAATGAAATATTGCTTTAGTTAATTTATGGCAAAGCTTATTGAGAATAATGTAAATAAGAATAGTCAAGGACTAATAGTCATCAATAAAGAGTTTACTATTCACTTCATTATTCTCATAGTTTTTGTGCCATTGTTTTCAAAAATTCTAAATAATAGAGGAAGTTTTCAGGTTATAATGAATCGAAACCGAATGATATACCTCAATGTTACATCTGCGGTCGAAATATTTTGTAGGTTTTTTTTACTTTATTACTTTTTATTACTTTATTACTTTCTTATTTTCTTACTTCTATTTACTTTCTACAATGAACTCTTGTTAAATCCTTTTCAAAAATATTAAATCATTAGATTTTCATCATATTTTAAAATTTTTTCATTCGACTCAATCGTCTCCCATAAGAAAAAAAATTATTTCAAAGAATATTATTTTTTAAAGAAAAAAATTCTTTTAAATCTCAGCAAACCACTAATTCCAGAATTTTAATGCTCAAAATATTCTTTAAATGCGAATTCTATATATGTATATATTTACAAATGATATCTATAAATGACATTCGCAATGGATCTTTAAGCCTGCAATTGCATATTTAAAATTTCTGATTTTTGAAAATACAAAATATTAATAATAGATTTACGTAGATACGACTACATGTTAGTTGAGCTTAATTTTGCAGATGACACAGTTCTCCTAAATCAGATTTGCATTTAGGAAAATTATCAGGGAATTTCAATCATTTGGAATATAGGAAAAAAGATTTGAGAAATTTTTTTAATTACTAGCAAATAGGACAAAATTCAATCTTATCGCGTAACTTTGCAAAAAAAAATTAAACTATCTTTTTGCTATAATCTTGATTAAACTAATTTCACCGTTTTATGTAATCCTATGGCAGAAAAAGAAAAAAGCAATTAAATATCGGGATTATTGGAGTTAAAAAAAATCAATTTTATAGTAAGAGATTGTGGTATACATTTGCGGTATATAGATTAGATTGTGGCACTTCTAGTAAATTTTTTTATATTTCTTTTTAAAATTCAAAAAATACTATTTACTTGTTGCAATGATTTCGAAGGAATGCCACAAAGTACTCACACTGAATCTATGAACTTAGTAATACTGTAATATTGTATATTGTAACTAAAAAATTGCTGAATCTGTCAACATTCTCTTATCGATTATATAAATTTTATCAAAATTTTTCGATATGAAATCCAATAAAAACATTTTATTTGACACCTTATTATTTACTAAATTGTTTATTATTTTACTAATTGATATTATTTTACTAAATTGTTCATATAAAATAGCTGAGGGTGATTCTTAATACTCATTTGCCCAAATGTCTTTTTTTAATTCTTCTAACAGTACCATTTTTCATTTGGTTAACTTCATTGGCTGCAAGAGTTGCCAGAAACTCGATCGAAGAAGAGAAATATAAATGGCTGCCCTGCAGTCATACACGTTTCACTTTTAATGATAATTTTTTGTTCATATTATATGTGATTAAGGAATTCTTATCTTGTTAAATTCTCCTCATTAGTCTTAAATCTTCTAGATGCTTCCAAATTATTTAGTGTAATTTAATTTATATATATGTACATAGGACAGATAAAGATATAGAAAGTGAGGGCCAAAGTGAGGGCCCACTAATAACTGAAGAACTGTGATTTCTAAGTGACTTCGACAGATTCCAGGAATATCACCAGAGATCATTATTCAGAAGAGCGAACTGCTGGAATGCTGGGATATTGTGCAGAACTCTCAATTTCCGAGGTCTCTGGCAGAGGACCTGAGGATGAGGGTGATTCTTAAGAGAGTTTTTTTTCTTCTTCTCTCCTTACTTTCTATAAACAGTGAGGACCTTTGTCCTTTACGAGAGGTCCAGAAGATAGGAGACTGGCAAATCAGCATTAGGGACTACGCATATATTTCGCTTAGAGATATTTTATAGATTATCTCCCAATTCATTTGTTTATTCATTTTTTTATTTCCTTTGATCTCAAAAAAAACCTTTGAAGCGGAATGGAGGCTTTGGAAATTGGATGAAAAAAAAATATAAGTTTTATGGGATTTCACAAGATCATATTTTTGTTTTATTTTTATAAAAAATAAGCACTTTTTTTCCACAGAAAAATATAAATTTAATTAATTGGCTCTCTCTGCCTTTGAACTTTTATATTTTCTTTTTATTTCCAGCTTTTCTTTCACAACAATGCTTTCATAAAAATACTTTCACTTTATGCCAAAATTCAAATAAAAGCCGTATATACTTGGCTATCATCCAAGCAGTATAGTACCACCAGTACGAAATCTATCATCCGAGCCAAAATCTCTTAAGCTCCGTCCAAACATTATTGGTAATTTTTGTGGAAAATAACGCCATTCATCGTCTGAAATAATGCAATCACCATTGCATATGATTACAATAATCTTTCATATTTTCCATATTCTATCTGATAATGAAATTTAGTGTACGATAGTATTCCCACCGTTTATCGTTATGAAATTTCACTGTATTTTTTTTATTACTTCAATGTGTCAAATTTAAAATGATGAAAAAAAGTAGGTTGCAGAATGGTGAGTGCACATATATATGTCTTTTTTCTTGGAGCCGTCGTCATTTCTGGTTCTAACTTGTCGTAGCAGGCAAGGAATTAATAAGCGATAGAGGTACAACTGGGTCGCCAGCACAACCCAGATTTTTGAAAGATAGTTGTGCTCCTGGTGAGATTGAATCTTGACGTCAGCGCTCCGAAATGAGAGCAACAACCCACTGAGCCATTCCACTAAAACCCGTGTCTCATTCTTTTCTAATTTTAAATTTTTAACCTTTCTGTTCATTGAACCCGGTCGTAAAGTCATGGCGTCCATGCAGTGAAAATAATATACTTTCGTTGGTCTGCAACAATATCAATGTTTAAAATTTAATTCAAAATTTAATTCAAAACTTAATATTCTACGTCTAACATGTTTCTTCTTTCGCATTTATCAATTTAAGTGCGATTAAACTGAATTATTTAATTATTATTAAAAATATTAAGACTAAAAATGGATGAATAGACAAATAACAGATAACAGATAAATTAAAAATTGAAAAAAAAATGCTTAAAATGCTTGCATTAGGTATCTTAAATGCTTAAATTTTTCACTGAATTTGATGATAAAGGTGATAAAAGAAGCAAATCTGATTTGTTTTTTTAAAAGACCTTCAAAAAACACAACGTAGCTCAAATTCGTGGTAAAATATATAATGCTTGAGGAAAGAACCATTAAACCTAAATGCATCTTTCTAAATTGGTTGTCAGTTTATAATTTAATCTAACTTAGAAAGGCAAAAAAAATGATGGATCGAGTTCAGAACGAGATGAGAGGTTTAGGGGAAGGATTTTCGCATTCAAAGATGGTAAATAGAGGGTAAATAGAGAGAGAGGAGATTACCAATAATGTTTAATTGTTACCTAATTCATAAAAAAAATACATACCTTAAGGACCAATAAAAATATTAATAAGCAATAATATCGAACCATTTAAGAGGATTAATGTGTAAATCGTTCAACTATACAATGCACAGTGAATGCTTCCAGTGTTCAACCTGCGGCGCTTCACTTAAGAACCAAGGACACCACTTTATTAACGATAAATTTTATTGTGATATCCATGGATCGCAACAAAAAGGGCGTGACATTAAGAACAATATTTTGTATGCTATTAAACATAATTTTTATAATTTTAGAAAGCCAAATTTAATAAAATTTGGAAATTTTTCTTAAAAATTTGCAATTAAAATTTTTTTAAAAAAAATATTAAATGCATTTTGCATAAAAATTTTTAAAATTTGTAAATTTCAAAACTTTTTAATCTAAATAATTAGAAAAATAAAAGTCGTATAATTACATTATTTATTTAAAGTAATTTGAATTAAAAATTTTCCACCGCAAAAATCATCGAATAAATAATTGGAATAATTTTTGTTATAAAAGTTTTCAAGTTTTTCTTTTTGTTCAATTCAATTCAATATTTGCAAATTTAAATTGTCATTTTTAATTTTATTCGAAAATTATAAAATTATGAAATCGAATTTTTATTAAGTGAAAATATGCCAAATCGTCTAGTCGATAGCCACGGCAATAAATACCAAAAACAATCAGAAATTTCAGTTAAAGTACCATCAATAAGTCCGACTCCGTGGAAGACTCAAGGTTTAATAAGGTTTGAATTTATTTCTACTAAAGTTCTAAAAAATTTCTTCAAAATTCTATGACTAAATAAGCAGCTGAATGATGAATTCGCATTATTTAATAATTAATTTCCAAACATTCTTTATTAATTCTTTGGTATATAAGGAATTGTTTAGCGTATTAATAATAATTATATATTAATAATATTTTAGCTCGTCAGCAGAAAACTTTCTTTTAGGCATCTTAGGAATGAGAATAAGAAATCATCGGACCCGAGGAAGGAAAGGAGAATAGAAAATATAAATGGCTAAAAACTAAGAAAATAAAAAAGATCTTGAAAATACCGTTTGTTGACGGTCGACGGCATTGCAAATTGAGAAAGTAGGATCTTCAGGATCTTAGAAGATTATTTATTATAACTGCTGCTGCTATAATAAAAATTTTACGTTTAAGCCCAAGTAACCGAGGAATTCCAACAGCTGCAACGCATTACGGACAGACTCTTAAAAAAGAGTCATACATGTCAACAGCATCGATTCAAGAAAGTATGGTGCTTTTTCTAAAAATTTTTTCTGGCAATAATAGCCGAAATGGCTTTAACATTGCTCAAATTTGTGAGATGAAAAATTATAAATAATATTAATTGGCCAGAAATATTCGTCTTTCTTCAGTCAGAAAATCAGAATTTATCAGAAAATCTTTCATTAGTTTATTTATTTATTTAGTTATTTAGTAATCACCTCATTTTAAAAGACTTTTAGCTAACCTTTATTGATGTATCCATTAAAATACTATCTAATTTTTTTTGCAGTCAGAATTTCTATAAATTAATTATTTAATAATGAAAAGTATCTTTGTATATATAAGAAGTATTATTTAATAATAAAATAAACTAGTAAGCGTATGAAAAACCTAGAAAATAGACTATCTTTGTTATCATTTTTCAGATACTAAAGTAAATCATTCAGAAACGAGTCTCAATGAAAATCACGCGAATCGAGTGAATGATGTAAGAAAAACGAATTCGGCTGCACTATACGACAAAATACCTTATTGCAAGCAGTGCAACAAAGATATACGGTTGATTTTTTGAACTAACTTTATGTCTCGTTCCTTCATCAAAGATGGAGTGACATGTGATGACGACAGTCATAAGATGGAACTTGCAATGATCTTAGAAACGAAAATCGTGCGTTCGAAAAAAATTGATGAGAAATAAAATATGCAAATAATACTTAATATTCTTTTTTCGACATGAGTGCCTAATATGTGCCTAAAAAAAGAAATTTTCAGAGGAGCTTATATAATAGCAAACAACGAAACGTGGTGCCCGGAACATTTTATATGCTCAAATAAAAATTGTAATAGAAAATTGTTGGAAATAGGTTTTATTGAAGAAAAAGGGGAAAAATATTGTGAACAATGCTTTGAGAAATATATCGCACCACACTGTGCCAAATGTAATCGATCTATTACTGGCGTAAGTACCATATGCAAATTTAGAATAATTGTAATTGTAACTCCTATAAATAGTGAAGTGCATATTCATCCTTGTTATATAATGATATCTAGGAGGACATAGGAACGTATATAGCTGTTAACAACATAAAATGAATGAGGAAGCAGGTTAAACACAAATAACTTTAGTTGACGTTGAATAATACTAAGAAATTCCTTTTTAAGCTAGAGATAGTAGTGTTGATAACATCATTAAGCAAATCTTCCAGTAGATAATAGATGATATTATTATGGTTGAGGATAATATCTTCTTACAAGTCGGTCTGCATCGTTCACTTATCAACAAATCTATATCGTAGTTTAAGCCTAAAATTTTAAATTATATCCATACAGCAGTTCTTTACTTATCATTTATATCGCAGATTTAGAGATAAGTTAAAACCAAATTGCAGATTAAGTAATCGTGAAAGATAATAGTAATATTAAGGCTTATTGCGATTCCCATTAAGTATTTCTCAGCAATATATAAATCTAGAAATCTGGCAATGATCAGTTAATTTAAGGACTGTTTGAATGCACTTCAAAAGCAGTGGCACCCAGAATGTTTTGTATGCACTCATTGCCATAAGGCATTTGGCAATTCAGCATTCTTTCTTGAACAAGGTTATCCATATTGTGAAACAGGTAAATTGCACTTTTATCATTTTGAATCACTAAAATGAACTATACAAAAATCGTATTTATTCAGAGATTTTTGTTTAACCTCTCCAAATGATCAAATCAAATAATTTAGAAATTGAATAAAATTTGACATATTTCAGAATAAGAAGTATATATTTAATTATATATATTTAATCTGCAAAAAAATTAAAAAATTTTCGCCAATGAATTTTTATTAATATTGGAAAAAATGGTTTATAGATTGGAATAAATTATTTACAACGAAGTGCACTTCATGTAATTATCCAATAGAAGCCGGCGACCGATGGGTTGAAGCACTGGGAGCAGCTTTTCATTCAAACTGCTTCAATTGCACGGTTGGATTTTAATTATTATTTGTTTTTTTTTCCCTTTTAAAATAATAAACCAGAAAAACTATAAACTAATAAAGTTAAAAACTTAGTTGTTTTAAAATTATATTTTAGAGCTGCCATACGAATCTCGAAGGAGAGAGCTTTTATGCGAAAAATGGAGCTCCATACTGTAAACTTCATGCATAGAAATCAAGTATACACGCAATGAAAAATAATACAATAATTTCTTACCTAGTTTTCTCCATTTAGTTGTTAACAATGGCAAAAAAAAAAGGAAATATTAAATAAACCTATTGAAGCAGAAGAAGGAACAATTTGATTAATCCGCTGAATGAAGAATACCAAATGATTCAACCATATTTGCTTATATTATATGGCTTTCTAATCGAAAACAGCCTTTATCACTGCTAAAAATTTATGGTGAAGAAACAGCAAAATCTAAATTCATTAATAAAAAATCAAATGGAAGTCTTGGCCTTAGCTATTTTTTAATCATCGTTAAGCGACAATGATTATTTTTTTATCAAAAATATGATTTCAACAATTCTGCGAACGAAACGAAATAGAAAATGGTTTATTTTTCAACTATTATAATTATAAAAGACGACATTTTACGATGCAAAAATTGTAATCAGATGAATTAAATTAAATTAAATTAAGAAATTGAAATATTTTCGTGAGTCAAAATGCATAAATCGTTTAATTAAACATAAATTTGCGTAATTTTTGAAAACAAATCTTTTTGATTGTATTTTATCAAAATATGAGCAAATAAAATTTTCTATAATCTTAGAAATGATTTCTTATCTCCTATCTTAAATTAAATTACAAAAACAATGATCGTGAAACAAACTTCTAGCAATAACTTGGCAGAATTCTCTCTCTGTCAAGTTCGGTTGAATCAATCGTTTCGTGTGAGGAAAACAATAAATGTTCGATTCTTCCCTTATAAGATTGAAGGCTTAAATGCTATTCAATACCCATCCATAATTATTCCAAATAAACCGATTATAGAAAAAAGTGAAACAAGCCAAATCAGCAAAGTATTATTTTGACAGTAAAAAAATATGAGCAAACAGCCATATACGAAAATTTTAAAAACATCACTATATAATTTTTCTAAGAATGAATAACAAATTTTAATTATCGAACAAAGAAACTGTAGGACAGAGAAATAAATCTATTAATAATTAAATAATGCAAATAATTAAGAAAAAAATAATAAGTAATCAAAATTATTGATTCTAAAATGCAAGAAAATAATAAAAAAATGAAATAAAAAAGTTTAAAATACTCAATATTCAAATAAATACTTATTTTGCTCGACACCATTGTACTACACGATTAAAATTACCAATATAAATAAGCATTATACCACGTAACAATCCAGCAAGCAGAACCTAAAATATCATTGAAAAAACTGTTATTAAATGAATAATTTTATCACAAATAAAGTTTATTGAAAATTTCTCTATCTAATTTCTCTATTTCTTCTCTATCTGAAATATAAATCATTCAAAAGTTTTACAAAAAGTGTGGAATAAAGAAGTAGAGACCTGAAGTACAACTTGAAAAAAGCTAGATTCTGGAGCGCCGCCAGCAGACAGTAATCCAAGTAACCATCCTTCAAAACCGACGTAAATATTGGTTTTGCCATTGGCAATACCATTTAATAAACAATCAGCAACATATTTTGGGCTCACAATACCGCCAGAACCGGTTATTTCTTTAACTTCTTTCGGCATCGTTTTCAGTTCTTCCTTTAAATTTTCCAAATAAGGAAAGAAAAAAATAAGAAAAGCGGAAATAAAAAAAAAAGAAAAATATTCTAATAATAAACCTGAAAACCCTCAGTATCAGTATTCGGTGGATAAATTATAGAAACTCCAATATTATAAGGCAGTAATTCCATATGAAGAGATTCGAAAAAACCACGAAGAGCACATTTAGATGCTGCATACGCAGTATACCCCCAGATGGGACATTCAGCAGCCGCTGTACATACAAAAACTATTGTTCCACGTTGAAATTTTTTCATAGAAGGCAATACAGCTCTTGTTACATGCACCTAAATCCATAAGATGAATCAAAAATGAAACATGAAAATTTAATTTTAATCTTTTCAGTAAAATAATAAAAGATACAGCACTAAGATAATTAATCTTCAATTGAGCTTCAAATTCGTGCAACGGTAAAATATCGAAGGCATTTTGAACTGAACGACCAGCATTGTTAATCAAAATATCAATAGGCCCAACTTCATCCTCAGCTTTTTTTACAACATTTTCAATCTGAAATGATCTATATATAATTCGATCTCGAAATACGCGAAAGAAACTCATAGAGTGCAAGAAAAATTGAAAAAATGATAAAAATTGATAACATACAGCTTCAAAGGCATCGACAACGTCAAGTAAGTATGCATGCGCTGTAGCTTGACTACCGACTGATTTAGCTAATGCATTAATTTCGGATACAGCCAAATCAAGATCCGCAGCGTTACGAGCAATAATTGAAACTGAACAGCCTTGATGCACAAGTGCCAAAGCAATTTCTTTTCCAATTCCTTTTGATCCGCCTGTAAATACCTCTCTAAATACCGCATGGATGTGGCCTGTTTGTCGAAAGTCCACCTTCCTCATGTCTGCTCTCGATTAATTATTCCAAGCAAAGATATTGGCTATATCACTGTGGTGGCTCGGATAACTCAGGGCGAAATGGCGTAGCGATAATGAAATGGAAGCCAGTAAATGAGTGTATGGCCTACGCGCGTTTCAAGGGAAAGTTCTGCAATATTTCGGTCAATATATATATATATACATATTCCAACTTTATGCCGCGATAAAGACAAGCTCTATGCGCAGTTTCAACTGTTTAACAACATCTTTGCTGAGAGGTGACATGGTCATACTCGGGGGAGACTGGAATGCGAGCATAGGTCATGATGCCGTTTCGATGAAGAATGAATAACAAATTTTAATTATCGAACAAAGAAACTGTAGGAAAAGTGATAGGACTGCAGTTACCGAAGAATTAGCCTACTGCACATCTTCGGGAAATTTTCGCTTCCCTTCTGAATAGACTCATGGCAATACGCGATAGCAAAATGCCGTATATTCTGTAACCTGGCGTATATTCTGTAGGAAATCGACAGACTCCTTTGGAATAAAAACTGGTGTACTTCAGGGCTACATTCTTTCCCCCACAATATTCAATTATGCGATAGACTGGATAATGGTCATTGTTTGTCGGCACTCAAGAGATATGCAAATCAGTCCAAAGCATCACAGATCTTGCATATAATGATGATGTAGTCCTTTTTGTTGACAATTATAAAGAAATACAAATAATGTTAAACAATGCGTTAACAATGCAGAGAGAGTTGGACTCAAAATCAATGTAAATAAAACGAAAGTGTTTTCGTCTTAAATACAAGATACTGACAAAATAACCATTTTTATCAATTAATTACCAGTTGAGGAAAAGCTTGACTTTAAATACCTTGGATCCACTCTAATGCCAAATGGCATGGCAAAGGATGAAATTGTGGACTGGATAACGTAAACTAGAAATATGCTTTTTCGGTTGATGAAATCTTTATGCAACCGTCGCGAAATCATCATAAAGACGAAAATCCGCGTCCATATGCAATTCGCTCGATCTTGCTATATGGCTGCGAAACATAGTCAATAAGAGTGGAAGATATTAAGAAGCTCTTAGTCTTTGACCACTCATGTCTAAGATACATTTTTCGTCGAAAAATGTCGCATATGATTGTATCCACATCAAATATCTCCTGTATTAAAAATGTTATTAGGGCAAGTTTTCCATCGTCCACCACAGGAGTTGACGCATATTTCGTTACTTGCTATACCGTGTGACGGGTGGCGTCAAAAGCAAAGTGGACCAATCAAGATCTGGACTGATACGGTCAGAAAAGATTTTGAACGTATAGGGGGACCAGCGATATATAGACTTAGATGATGGAAAAATGAATGGCTTCTATCACTACTAGCGATAGCGTCAGACTGAGCAACTTGGAGATATCTTACCGTTGTAGCCAACCTAACCAGTAATGAGAGCTGCTAAAAGAAGAAGATCCGCCTGTACGATTAAATAACAATTTTTTGCAAAACTCGCTCGATATTTTATGAACTTTAAAGAGGCAACATAAATACGCTGCACCTTTAATATGAGCTTTAAATGCTGAAAGATGGCTAAAATAAAGAAAAGATTTATTTGACCAAACCCAACCCAAGCTATGAAAAATCCAAAATTTTATTAAATACACATAAGAAAATATAAAAAATAATTTATCTCTGCAAATCCACATTCTAATAGTTAAATTCAGCTTTAACTAAGCTTTAATATTTTTAATATTTGAAAGCATACAATTTTAGAAAATACCTGTAATGAAAGCATGCTTTCCACTGAAAAAAAGAGGTCGTCTTTTTGGAAGAGAAAGATAAACAACAGAAAAAAAACCAACAAATGCCCCGATTAATATAAGAAACAATAGCGAAAAAAGTTCCATCAGTTTAACAAAGTTGTTCACGTACGACAGTTATCTAAAATAAACGAAGAACCAATGTAATTACTACAAATGATCTCCAAGTAATCGCACGAACTATGGATTAACCTAAAACTTAAGTCAGTAAAGAATATTTATAAAAAATATTTTTATAAATATTTAAGAACCTATAAAACGACAAATTATGGATTTTTTCACCTTCTTTATCCTTTTATCTTAGCCTACAGCTATGTTACTTGCTCATCAGTTACTAAGTGTTAATTAAAACTCTTTCTCAATAGTAATTTATTGCAATATGGCGCATTTTTTTATATTGTTTCTACAGATCTTTCATCTATGCATTTTTGTGACTCTATTAGCTCTCAATAAATAAGTGAGGAACGTTAATAACGAAAAGACATTATTGAAAAGAACCCAGTATATTTATTAAGCTCAACTCTTATTCTGAAATCTTTTGTATCTTTTTTGTTACCTGGATATTTTTTTAACTAATAGCGAAATTAGCCTTCAGATAACTTAAAAAAATTTTTTCAACAAAAATTTGTGAACCGAGTTTATATGCAAAGCAACAGAATATCCAAAGTGTTGACCATAAATTGAAATTGCTGCCCAAATTAAATGCAGATCTTTCTCCGCAACAATAATCGAACCTTTCAAAGTGCTGGGATCAAATTGGCCTAAGGTGTAATTTGGTGCGGCTTGTCCAAGTACAACTCTTAGTGCTTCGCTAATCAAAGTACTGAAGTCTTCTTGCCCGAAATATTGTGGCGCGCTATGCTCTCTATAAATTCTTATATTGAAAAATTCTTATTTCGTTTTAGCCCCATTTAACATCTAACGATCCTTTGTGAAAAATTGCAGTGCTAGCGACACGTGAATTATGTCATTTTCATTTCCACTCATCTCTTTATTTCCTATCCTTTACCCTCATAATAGCTATTCATAAATAGTTCAAATATTTCCGTCGCCCAGCCGCATTCATTCCTCAATAATTCTCTTTGCTCTCTTCGTTAAATATCTCTTACAGTCTCCCTCAACTAATTTTCTCAACGATAGTGACCAACTGCTGCCCAATTAACCGAAATGTGCCAGAATTCTCAAAACTTTTGCATTTTCTCTTCAAAGAGCAATGAAATTCATTGTAGAGAAATTTCATTCGAATAAAAGCCTGGAAAAACGCAAAAAACCGAAGTAAAACAAAAAAAACCATAAAACATACAACTTAAATGTTAATCGCCGAAGTGCCTCGCTACGATTTACTTTTTTCTTTCGCATAAAAATTTGTACAACAAATTTTTCCACAAATTTTTATCTGAAAAAAATCACTTTTTAATAAATAAATTGCAATTTTTTTGAAAGAATTTTTTTTAAAAATTTGAAGTACAAAAATTGAAAAAGTCCGAAAATAAACTGAAGAAAAAAACTGAGGAAAAGTGAAAATAATTTAACAGCCATAATCGATAGCCAATTCGATAGTTCACGATGAAACCCAAACCAAAAAATCAAATCATTTTCCATAAATCACCTCTGGAATGTAATCTGATCCGTATTATAGTATTCGCTAATATTCAGTTTCGCGCATTTTTGGTCTCTGAAATTCAGCTGCAGCCTCAGATATTTAACTATTTCGGTTATCCATGTAATTTTCTTGTATGTTTGCTTATGACTGTATTTTTATTGTGTTTGTTTTGCTGGTCGCATGTGATAATTTTATTTGAAAAGTAGAAAGTGGCGGTTTGTTGTTTCGCCATTTTCTTTCTTTAATTCGCTAAACAAAATTGTAAATTTCGTGAAAAATTGAGAAATTAACGAAAGTAATTTTTTATTTTTAATTGTGTTTTTTTAAAAATCATTTCTTATTTTTTATGAAATTTGAATGTTTTCTTATTTCATTTATTTAATTCTATAGCTAAAAAATTTTATATTTATAAAACATTTTTAAACATTTAAACATTTCGAGAAAAAATTGACGAATTTTTTTTCTGCATTTTGTTTTAATGTTTGCTTTATATTTTAATTGGGGATTTTTATTATTTTTATAATTTGCAATGAAATTATAGCGAATAGAAAGAATAAAGAAAAGAAAGAAAGAAAGGATGAAAAGTTTAAATGTGACTTCGTGGCATCATCAAACGCCAGAAAGAAGGCCGCTGAAACGGAATCGCCTGGGACCGCCCGATGTTTATCCGCAAGACGTTGGCTTTCCTCGACCGCTTTCCTTATTTTTCACTTCATTTCATTTTTTCATTCCAGTTTTCAATTTTCAATTTGTTTGAAGAAGGGCTTTTTTTATAAAAAAAGGCGAAAAAGGCAGAACTTGTTTCACTTCAAATAAGTCATTGTTTATTGAATTTCTCTGAATTTTACTTGTATCTCCGTATGTTCAATTTTTTAACAATTCTGAAAAAATTAATCATTAAGCTTAAGATTTTCACTGGAAGTTGGTTTTTTTTTTTTATTTATACCTTCTGTTATTACTATGTGCAATAATTTTAGATAAAGCAAGAAGAAGACAACTTAGGCGCTGATCGACTTAAAAAAGGATATCAGATTGCAGTCACCTCATATGAGCATGATTCTATTGTTTGGAACGCTAAGGTTAAAAAGATTTTTTTGATTAAAAATGCTCTATTTAAAAAAAAATTATAGCAAAACTTTTATAAAAAAAATTGTCGATAATGCGATAATGGAGAATTATTAAGTAAGAATTTTTTCCTTCGTCGCTTCGTCATTAATACGTTATTGATACGGTTTATTGGTGATTTGTGTTTAATTGCTGTTATTTTTTGCAACTTTGCTAATTTAATATATACGATGAAACTTTTAAGATGCCACGGCTTGATAAAATGGATGACTCAATGATTCGTTGTGCACAAATTATCATGCAGATAATGGCAAAAAAGAACGAACTGAATGCAAATCTCGATAAAGAGAGAAAGCGTGGTGCTAAGGAAGGAATATTTCAAAATTTCAGTCACACTGTGGTTTTTATTTACTATTTATTTTTGAAAAAAAATCTTTTTTGTATTCTTGATAATGATGATTTTGACTTTTTCCGCTTTAACGCTTAACGCTTAACTGAATGTACATTCTAGGGTCAAAGTGTCAAATCGAAAGAGCGAAAAGAATGGTTCACTGATCTTGCTCGTGGAAAATCGCTATCTTATCTTGCCAGACGACCACCTTTCTTTCGCAAAAAGGTGCATACTTTTTTTGGTGCATTTGATTTAACTTTGGAAATTTGACTTATCGAATTTTTTTTTAGGAAGATGCATTAGAATATTTATGTGATTTTAAAGTACCTGTTACTCGTGCTCTTTGGTTTCTGAAATTGATCGCTGTAGGCCAGGGAATTGCTTCAAATGTTAATAAGCAGAAAAAGTCTACAGCCGATCAACTGGCTGCAGGTAGATATTTTCTTGATTTTTTGAATTTTTCATGCAGTTTCAAAATTTCAAAATTTTTTAAGTCTAAATTTCATTTTTTTTTTTATTTTTTCAAGTTTTTAGAACATGCTGTGCTATTTTCTAAATATGTAAAATTGATGTTAAATCAAATGAGTGAAAGCGCTAAGCTGGAGACGAATATCGTTTATACGGAACGTTGGCCACATTTTGTTTGCCTATGTAAACATGCATATGAGGTGCAGGAATAATTTTACTACTATGTTTTTAAATTACATTTTAGATCATTTTTGAAATGAAAAAATTACCATAAATTTTATTAATCTCAAATGAGTTCATTGTTTTTATGCAAAAAAAAAATAAAAATTTCATAAAATTAGGACGGGATGGTTGAAAGACAAGAATTCCTTATGGATTTATGCGATATTTTTGCTGATCGTTTTGTCCAGCGATCTGAGAATAGACCACATTTTTTTATATTGTTTCGGATGTTTCTTTCATTTTTCGCCCAATATGCGGATCAGATAACGCAGAATCTTATCTTATCCCGTCGATGCGCGTTCCTAATTGCTCGACGATTAGCGATTTATAAAAAAGAATCTGAAGACACTCTAGGAAGGTATATTTAGAATTTTATTTGGAATTTATTTTATTTAGAATGTATAAATTCAATATATTTTTTATATTTCTTCATGATTTTTCTTATTTTTCTATTAAATGGCAGCGGAATAAAAGAAAAATTTCAGAAACTTGATGTATTTTTTAAAATATTTTCTAATAAGTCCATAAAAAATGAAGAATATCAATATTTTTTGTTTTCAGAATTATCGATGCGGCTGAATTATTCGAGGATTTATTGCAGTGTCAGAAACAACGGCCAATAATTTTGATTTTATGTGGGTTGCTTTATGGTATTTTAATCGATTGTCCTGGTGCTCTAATCTGGAATAATTTTCATGGTTTGTTTAAACGAAATTCGAGATTCTTTGATATTCTTTTTTTTTTTAGGTGTGATGAAAATGCAAAAAAATTGATAGACCAATGTTACGATCATCATATATGATTGTTTATCTTATTTATTTTTATTTATTTTATTTATTTATTTTTTTTATACATTTATTTATTTTTAATGATCTGATTTAAAGCACATAATTAATGAAAAAAGTATTTGGAATTTGAACTGATTTAAGTGGCTGAAGGTCGACCGCCATCATTATTACATCAGCTATGTGCATCGCCACTAGATCATCTTCCTTGTGAAATCGAGGCATTACCTATGCCTGCTGGAGTAGGAACGGATAAAATTATGCATTTTATACATCTGCGTGTGGAAGAAGTGAAACGACGTAGTCATAATGTTGAAAATCACTGGTCTTTAAATCAAACACAAAAGGATGGTTTTGGTAAGTTTCTTGTCAATATGTTTGGAGCTTTTTCATAAAAAATGTAAATAATGTAAAAAAAATTTTTGATTGCGTAACGCAGTGGAATATTCTTACATAAAAGATCATTTTTCAGCTCTGATTGTTAGAGTTTGTCTTGAAATCCTGGGTGTTTTGGATTCTGCTCGTCATGATCAGCCTCACAGCATTGAAAGGATCTACAATCTGATTTTCAGTGGGCCTTCTAAAGAAAGTTTTGAAGTAAATATATCAAGTTGCTATAAAAATTCCAACTTAAATTTTGGCAAAATTTTGGCATATTTCTCTTAGTTTTTTGTTATCTTTATGAGAATGCCTTCTTTTCATTTTATAATTTTTTTTTTTCACAAAGATAAAATCGACTTCTGGAATATTTTAATTTAGGACAAGAGTGATCATAATATAAGATTTATTGAGTTTATCTATAATCTTTAAAATAATTAAACTGAATTTGATGATTGAATTATAGTCCAAGGGCCAAGTTGTTTAAGAATATGTACATCCGGAAGCATAGTCATGGATCAATTTAAATTGATAAATTTTTTTTTAAATTTTTTATTTTAAAATTTTAAAATTATTTTATTTGCGTTTTTAAGATTTCTATTTTTATCATTTACATTCATTAGCACAAATCTATTGAGCCGAATTTTTACAAAGTTTACTGATTTTTTTTTTCTCATTTCAGTGCTGTTTTCATAAATCCTAATTTTGCAGCATGAGCATGCCATTCGTGTAAAGGTTTTATTACATTGGGCTGTAACTGTGGAAAGGGAAGGTACTCATCGGGCCAGCATCGTTGCAAGTGTTCTTGCACTAAGAATTAATCATCGAAAAGGTTTTCGATTCGGTCAGTTTAAATTTTTGAAAAATATTGTTTGATTTTTTATTAAATGCAAAAAAATAAATTTAAGGAAATAATTATAAGTAACATTATAAGTAACCAATTTGCAGTTTATTTTCAAAATTTTTTTATATTCTTTTCATTTTCATAAAGTTATTTAATCATTTTGTGTTGATTTCAGAATAAATTTTTTTCGCTAATTTTCGTGAATATTTTTGCAGGAAATCACCATTTACAAGATATATTAGTGGAATATTTGGAAACGGAAAGTCCTCAACCAGGCCAACCGTATTTTTACGAAGAATTCTCAAACCTTATGCATTTATTTGTTGAATTATTGAGGGCAGGTGTTTTTTCTCACGATTTATATGTTAAAAGTCTTATTACTACGGGAGAAATGATGGAAAGTTTGCCTATTGTCCCAAGAATAAGAGCAAGGAATTCGGATAAAACAAAGGTTAATTTGCTTCAGAAGTTATATAAATTGAGGAAAAAAATTTTATTCGAGGAGAGTGCCATACTCTATGCTTTATAAACACGAATGATCGTAGTAAAAAGGCAATAAGCAGAAAAACGAGGAATTTGAAAAGATCAATGAAACTTAGCAATTAGAACAATTAGAGACAATTAGAGATTAACAATTAGAAATTTACCTATTTTAGTTTTTCTAGACATTGTTGAAATTATTGTGGATAATTTATTTCAATACTGCTATTGTCATGTTAAACAGTGATGTAGTTTGTTTTACCAGATGCAATCATAATATCTTAAACCCAATTTAGTGCAGTCTTAATCCATGTTTTGGGGAAAAATTTGATTCTACGATGGCAATAAAGGACGAATATGCAGTAAATGTCGAAAGATCTATAAAAGTCGGAAATGCTGCAAAAATACAAGGTTACCGACTGGAAAAGGATGAAAACCTGTTCACTCATTCAATGCTTGGTCCAGAACTCAGCATACACGAGCGTTTTTTAATTCATCTGCCTATTCCTCAGTTATCAGAATATCGTGGTGAATGTAATCAAAGGTATGTTTTACTTATTAATTTATCGAATTTATTCCTACTAGAACATCATAAGTTGTTTGTAAAATATTGAAAAAATTAAAGAATAAAGATAAAAAATATCTTGTAAAAAGTAAAATTGCTTATTAATTTTAAGTTCTTTTTAATTTTTTAATTTATGAAATATTTTAATCATTTTATTCGATTTTTGTAATAATGCTTTTATTGCAATTTTTGTAATTATTTTTGTAATCATAATTTATAATTATTATAATTTACACTTTACACTTTATTCTTTAATTTTTTGCTTTATGCTTTATTTTTTATTTTATTGTACTTTATTGTAGATTGCTTCTATTGTATGGGATGGGTGATGAAAGAGATAATGTGAAAAATGAACTTAAGAAAATAGCTCGTGAAATTGCAAAAATTTGGACGAAGCGAATCGTTGTTGAATTTTCATTTTCAAAACCTTCCGAAATTCGTTTTAAAAAGCGAACTAACAGGGAGCAAATTAATGAATCAATTCAAAAATTTAGGTGACTCAATTTTAATATATTTTTTATTTTAACATTAAGCTCCAAGGTCCTTAAAGTTTAATTTTTTATTTCCTACTTTTTTTATTTTAACATTAAGCCCCAAGGTCCTTAAAGTTTAATTTTTTATTTTCTACTTTTTTTATTTTAACATTAAGCCCCAAGGTCCTTAAAGTTTAATTTTTTATTTCCTACTTTTTTTATTTTAACATTAAGCCCCAAGGTCCTTAAAGTTTAATTTTTTATTTTCTACTTCAGCTTGAAGAATCATTTAGTTTAGATCGCAGACATATTACGATCAAGTAGTTTTATGTGGATGGTGTTGTGATAATTTCATATCGATGATTACTGATTTTGTTCATCACCAAGGTACTGTTTTACCAACAGCAGAAGGTCTTGATATACTATTGGATATGATGGAACAATGTAAAAATATATATGGGATTATGGAATTTGCAGAAGAGGTTTTGCTTTATCTTTTATTCTTCACCGTTTTTTATTGTTTTTATTTGTTCATATTTTGCCATACTTGAATTATATTTTGAGATCAAGTTAAAATAATGGTAACAATATAAAAATCTGTTTAAGTTGCTACCATTACTTGTTGCTGTTGAGCGAGTAATTTCTGAACGACGAGTGGATTGTGTTCCTTCGATTATTTCCACACAGCTAGGATACGTCCTTGTTGGTTACATCAGTCACAATTATTATTATTTTCTTTTGTCAGAGAATGCTCCAGAGATTGTTAATGGGTAATAAATTTCTTGGTACTTTCAAGAAAAATACTTTTTATTTTTATTGCTGGATTGTGTAGGTCGATATCGATTAACTAGGTTGAAATAGTTTTTCTTATTATTATTACCCTGAATTTTGATATTCATTTCATAAGGTTCTTTCTTTCTTAAGTTGAATTTTTTTCGGTTGACATAATAGAATAAAGATGAGGAATATGGCGCTTACGCAAGAATTTGCGTTATTCGTTTTTTAGAGATGCATTTATATAGTAATTTTTCATTTTATTCTATTATTGTCTGGAAAAAAATTGATGCAAATGAAGTTTTTCAGACTTTATCAAATTATCGAGAGTCAACTAAAGTCTTCAGATGCGTGTTTAACTGGATGGGGTCGGACCATTGCTATTTTCATTTTAAATGCCAAAAGAGAATTAATTGAAGCAGCTTTGACAAATAAGAAAATCGAGGGAAAGCGAGAAGTACTTTTACGCATACTTCCTCCACGAAAGCCTTCGTGCATATCTGTAAATGCAATATATCACGCTTGTTTATTCAAAGAATCTCTGGATAAAACGAAGTAAACTTTTTTTTATTATTCAAAATTTTTAAAATATTTAAAATTTTAATATTTGGAAATAAATGTAGATTTTAAATATTTTTATTTTTTTTATTCAATGTTTTTATAAATAAACATCATTGTGTAGTTTCACTTTTTAGGCGGATTTTCTCCTTCAATGATTATCGTCGTTTAAATGCATTATTCGATGGACCAGATGCTCGATATAGTTTTGTTATCAGCGCATTACGTGCTGCTAAGCAGTGCGAGAGAGATTTTGATCGTTTAGTTGAATTGGCCAATATTTGTGGTCACGTATCAGCTCAGACTGGAATATCAGCAGAATGGTGTGGTGCTATCCAAGCATTATGTTGTTCCAGCGTTGCTGGAAATCATGGATTTGCTGATTTACTTCTTGCTATAAATGTTTGTCAATATAATTCTTATTAAATATTTTCCTACAATATTTTTTAGCAGTCTATTAGCTAAGATCTAAACAAATCTAAATATTTTTTCTACTTCGAATAAACTGATTTTTTATAGGTATATTTTATGCATTTTAATGATTTTTCTAGGTTCAAGCCATTTTTTCTTTACGATAATGAAGTGATTTCAGGTAGAAGATTCTTCTTGTCATTATAGTATAGCGACTTTTTATATGTTGTTAGCTTCTCGCAGTTGTTTTAGTATGAATGCCTTATTTCATCAACTCCTGCATACAGCATTATCGTCTTTGCTAAAATCGGATTCTTGTAATTTTTTATTTTTTATTATGGGCGGTACAGTTCAATAATTGGAAAAATTTTTTATGTTTTTTTGCAAAAAATTGTATTTTATTAACAAATTTTTTTTTAGCGAAGGCAGATGTGGACGCTGAAGCTGGAGTTTGCTTGGCACTGCTGGTTTTGGCAGCGATCGTCTGTCAAAGCGATGAACCAATCGAATGTATATTATTCATCAATATTTATAAATTCTTTATTATTTTGTTACTATTTGTTATTTTGTGTTTATCATTTCGTAAGCCTTTTTCTTGTAAAATTAATTTTTTTATAGTGCCACTAGGATATAATGGTAAAAGTGAAGAAAAAAAAAAATATGTATCGGGCAATGCAGATCGATGGGTTCTTTCTGGTGGTCATCTTCATGATATCAGTGATGCTATATTCGATTTATTATTCACTATATGTTTGTTAGCTGATTACACCAAAAATAAGCTCCGCGATCGTATTGAAGAGTATTGTTTATAATATTTGGTTTTATAATATCATTTATATATCATTTAGTCGATCAAAAATCTAAAATCAAAGAAAATGATTTTTCATAATAATGCTGTAATTTGATTTTAATTTACAGAAAAATTGATCACTGCTTCCGTCGTGAATATATCTCCCAAATATCAAAAGCTGTATTGATAGCAATGTGTGAACAGGATTGGGTAACACATCGAATATATCGGGTTTGTGAGGAAACAAATATGGACGTTTTCAACTCACACAAATTAAAGAAGAACTGTCTCGTATGTTCTGCTTTTTCAGTTCTCAAACTTCCCTTTTCAAATCCATTATGCATTTATGTGTCTGTGCTTATTAAATTTTTCATTTATGAAACTATTTTTCGATTTAATATATTTTAATTTAATGTAAGCCAAAAAATAGCTTTAGGGACAGCAATTACTTCGAATGACCTTAAGACGAAAATGCGAGCAGACTATTATACAGGAATTAACAGTTTGCAATGGAAATTCAAAGAAATCATTAATCGATAAGCTGTTCGATGTTTTAAATATTTGGAATATTAGAGCAACATATTTTGATCTCAAATTAATGATAAAAGAAGTAAAATGCTAATTTTGAAACCATTAAAAAAAAGAAAAATTTGGTTTTCTTACATTTGATTATAATTTGATTTATTTAGCATTTTATTGATTTTATAAAATATCTTTTGAAGATATCGCCTGAAGGCTCATCTAGTAAGCATGCTCAACAGCAGGCAATTGCTGCTGATGCTTTGATCGGTGAGATTGGTAAATGCTGTCGAGATCTTTTTACATTATCTCGCAAAAGCGAAAGTAAACTGCCGGAGGCAGGAGTTGGTAAAGCCTTCAGGTAAAATGTTTCTAATAATTGTTGTTTCTTGATTTCATTATTTTTAATTTTGACGACGTGAATTTCTTAATTTTGAAAACCGAATAAATATCAATTTTGTACGATATATGGGATGAAAATTTATTATTTTTATTTGTTATTTTTATTTTGTTTGTTTATATTATTTAAAATTCAGGTTAAGGCACATTACCAAATACTGGCTGATTTCACCATTAGTTCATGTATGTCCAAAACCAGTTAATTTGCCACAGTCTTTTCCAGCGATTACAGTACAATCTAAATTTTTAAAAGAGGCTGCATCAATGCTTGACACTGCTAATGATAATAGTAGGGAAAGGATTCAACAAAGGTGCAATTTTGTAATTTGTAATATTCCTTATAATTATTAATTCTGCTGATAAATAAAGTCTGTAATATTTTTTATGTCAGTTGTTTTAGTGCATGGTTGCTGAGTCAGGAACCTTTCATTAACCTTGTTCTAACATGTCTAAAAAGCGAAGAGCAACAACGTGATGGACTTGTCGGTTCTTTATTGAAACAGCTTCAAGATTTGGCCTTAAAATCTAAAGAGGTTTTGATTAATTGATAAATTGGTTATTTAAAATGACTATTTACATATTTACTCCATTTCATTTGAACATCTCAGTATTGTGGTAGCAAACGTGGCTTTGCCGTTAGTTGTGATATTGGTCATATTACATAATGTTTTTTAAATGGTTTTATATAGACATTGACATTGAATTGATCATTAGAGGCTAGTTAGAACTTATGTTGATTAATGATTTTTTGCTTTTTTGTTTTTTGGCAAAAATTGCACCTCAATATATCAATAAGGGAATATGGCCAAGTGATATATTGCAAAATTATAGTTTGGTCTATACTTCTGTTAAGGGTAAACTTATCATTATAAATGTTAGCGATGTTAGTGATGTTAGCGATTTGCCTGTTTTTCTATCTTCAAGTATGCTAATAAAACTAAATTTTCTCATTCTATTAGTGGTCTAATAAATAAACTACTGGATCAAATCTAACCATAAATGATGGGTGCTAACCATTAATTGAATTTGTTAATAAGACATTTTGATATAAAATGCAATAAAATACAATAATGTAGAAAAAGTCATGTTCAATTAAATTATAGAATCCGACTTTGCCTTATTTACGAACATTTTCACTCGAACGAGAAGGTCTTTTGCTACGTCTTTCATTGGTCGGTGGTATGTTTGATTCAGTATGTCATCCAGCCAATAGTGATTCTTGGGCCTTACTTCTTTTTCAGTTGATGCTGTATGGTGTTGTCTCAAAAGAACGAGATAGGTAAATAACCTATAATCTTAATTTAAATTAATTTCGAATCAGAGTTTATTTGAGAGATATATATATGTTATTAGTTCATAGAATGGATGGAAAAAAATTATATTGATGAATAATTAAAATTTCATTGCTTTTATCGCTTGTTTTTTTTTAAATAATATTTTGATCAAAATTTGAATTTTATAGGGTGTTATTCGATTCTTGTTATGATATGTTATCTACCCTTCTGGTTTGGTCCATAACTGATCCTATGAGTGCTATTCCAATTAATTCACAAGATCCAGATACTAAATATCGATTCAATAATTATTCAAGTTTTGTAAGGAAGTTGCGAGTATGACTTTTAATGCTAAAATTATCTGTACAAGCTTTATTTTGCATACTATTTTAATGAAATGGTTATTAAATTACTTTTTACTACCGACTATTTCGCCTGTTTTGGCATTAAAAGTTACAATTAAAATTATTCTTCATTTCATAGGTAGTTTCACTGGTTTGATTTTTCAGAAAGAACTAAACGAACGAGCTTTGATTCCAGAGCTGCGATCGCTTATGCAGTTTCTCCCTTTGCCTAAACCGTCTTTTGATATTATAACATGTGAGCCTTATGGCACCGTGTCTTTATCACCACAAAAGCTTGCGAAAGGTCAGATTGGTCCCTCTACCAAAGTAATAAAACAAGGTTTACAGGTGAATGCAGAGTTTTATTTCATTATTATTATTTGATATTATTCTGTTCAATTTTATTTAATTTAATTTATTTTAACAAGCGATTTCAAATAATTCATTCATTTTTAATACTATGTGGCTAACTGGTTAAGGCACTTCTGCAATCATATACCATTATTTCAAGTTTTATTTTTCATTCATTATTTTAATTAATTATTTAATTATTAATTATTTTTCAGTATTATTTAGCCGTTATTTCGCTAATTTTTTAAAGATTTCTATATTTTAAACATTTAAAACATTTTAAACATTTTTAAACATTTAAATATTTAATACTCAAATATTTTTTAGATAATATTTATGTATTTTTTTAATATTTATGTATAATTACTTAATAATTTTAGTTCTCCGAAAAGGTAAAAATTTCGACCTTTGATATGATTCAAAATTTTAATACAGAGGTTTCTGTTAAACGTACATGGAATTGGGCGATGTTTCAGGTAAATATTTTCTTGAATAGATCTAATATATGTTATTATTATCCTGTCGTTATTTAAAATAATTTAGTATTAATATTTTTTAATTTTAATTTTTTTTAATTTTTTGCTTTTGCTCATTTAAATTCGTTTCATAGAAATACTTAAAAAGAATTGGAAAAAAGGCGATTTTTTCTGCACCTTATTGTTTTAAATGGTTTTAACTTTTTAATTCAATATTAAGTTCTATATTCGCAATTGTTTTTTCTTAGTGGTTAGAACAGATGTTTATTTATTGTTAATTTTTATTATTTATCATATATGTATGCTATACTGCTGCAACCATCATTAGTTAAGAAATAGAAGTTGAGATAAGTATATCACTGAAACAATAGTTATAGACAAAAGGTTTAGGATGAATTATTTACTGAGGTTTTTGGAGAGTGAGTAATTATTATGGAAAAGTAGATGAAGAAAATATGGAAAGAAGAAATGAACGATTAGGGATCTATCGTTGTCCAGCTGATCGAATAATCTACCAAAAATTCTTTAATATTGCACTTTGAAGGCCGTCAAAAGCGATCGATTACCTATACCAGTTCAGCGCTATATACAACGTCTTATTCAACATCAACATTACAATGAATTCGTTAGACCTACAATTTGCGGTATGGACAGGTAAATCTGATTTTCTTTTTTGGGTTTTGTATTTTCAGTGTTACTTTTTTTACATTTTTTTCTCCCTTTTTCAATCATTTTTCGTTGTTTTTTTTCACTTTGACAATTTTTCATATCGTCATTCGCTAAATAATTGCTTAATTTTTCGCCTAACTTTTTGTTTTTCTTTGTATTTGCAGTCATTCTGATAAAATGAGCCATGAGTTAAAAGTAAGGAAAAATTTTGATATTTAGATCTATATTAGATTATATTAGATCTATAAGCGTATTTCTAAATTTTGATTATTTTATCAGTTTTTTAAATCATTAAAATAATTAAAAACTGAATTAAAATTTGATGTTTTTTACAGGCCTCCTAATTTGGATATCTATTTGTCACCTCCGATTATGGATGTTTCTGAAACACCTATAAGTATACATCATGTGCCTGCAAACAGTGCTGCTCCAATCTCAACTTCAGCTTCAGTAGCCTCTATTTCTTCGGTTACTATATTTTTTTATTTCGTACTACTTTCATTTACTATTTTTATTTTTTTTTTTGCTATTTTCTGAATATAAATTTTTTTTTATTTTGATTTGAAAATTGCAGACTGCATCGACTTCTATTGCTTCCAATGCATCTTTAGCTGGAGTGGATCAATCAGCATCAAATGTTGCGGCACAAAATCGTGCTTTTCAAGCTGATAACTCACAATTATCAGTGTCTCAAGACCCAAATAATGATGCTGTTATGTTTGCGCAACCCAGTCATATTCCATCAATACCTGAAATGAGTCGCGTTCAATCAAGTGCATCTCCGAGAGGATCGAGAGGTTCGCTGTTCATTAATTGTTTCTTATTTTAAAGCTTCATATTAAATTAAGATTTAGAAATAATGAGTTTGCTTAAAAAATTTTTAGAAGAAAAGTTCAGATCATTGAAATAACTTAAGTAAAACGAGTATCTGAGAGCAAAATGGAATCAGAACCTTTCTTAACATTTTGGTTATTGCAAAAATAGAAAATGCTTTGAAATTTTTGTCTTTAATAATCTTTTCTGAACCAATTTATATGTAATGATATGCAGGTGGAAGAAGGAAGAATGCGGCAGGACCAGCAAGTAGATCGCAAGGCACAACGCGTAAAAAACAAAGACAACTGGCAGATCAAATGCAGATGCAAAGTTCCGCACCACAAATGTCCGGGCCAGTAATCACTGCTCCTAATAATTCAGCTGCATCTACATATGGATGGGGTCCTCAGCCTATTCAAATTTCGCAGATGCAGCAGTATTCAAATAGTTCACAAGCAGGTCTCTTTGATTGATATGATTTTATAAATTCAATAATATCAAATATTAAATGTTAAGATAATTTTAAAACTTCTGAAACTTCGGAAATTTATGGAATAAAAAAATAAAAAAGGCTTTCGATTATAATCAATTGTAATTAGGTGCTATAAATCAGTCAGAAGATTCGAAAATGAAAATTCATTCGATGATACTACAAAAACGTCAGCAAGCGCAAGCTGCATCAGGAGGATCTCAAAACGTTGGAGGAGGACCATCTAATTTGGCAGAAATAAATAGTAATATTTGAATTTACAATTATTATTTAATAAATAATAAAGAATAATAATAAAAAATAAAGAAGAAAAGATTCGAAAAGAGTTATATTCTGTATATTGTTTGAGTATTTTAAAAAATTCGGATGCTTAAAATAGTTCTTTTCAATATAATGTGACTATATATTTCTTTGTTCAGTGGCTGTTAACCTTTTTGGTCCAAGGTACCCCTTAAACTTTGGAAGTTTTTATGAGTTTAATTGAAATGCAGATTTATTTGTATTCTTGCTATTTATTGGTATTTATTAGTTAAAATGGCCTTAGCAGCGAGAATTTTCTGAAAGAATCTTGGAGTTCTCAGGTCCTTCCACCCGTTTTTGAGAACTACTGGTTTAGATAATCATTTTAAGCGCCATGCTTCCATCTCTGTATTTAATTGAATTGAAATAATTCATTGTCATTAAAAATGATTCAAATCCGCTGACACCAACGTGCAATTGATTTTAGTAAAAAGGCTTTGTCTGAATAGCCGTTCAGTGGTAACGTTACAGGAAATAATTTTTTTATAGATTATCAAAGTATGGGACATAGCGAACCTAGTGGTCAATATGGAGCTGCTATGTTGATGAAGATGGAAAATCCTAACATTGAACAGCCGTATTCAATGGGGCCACCGCAAATGGTTTTGTCACAAGGTCTATCAATATTTAAGCAATATAATTTAACTTTAAAATGTGTTTGCCGACTTTGAGAATATTGAGGTTGATAATACATTTTTTATAGTCAAAATTGAATAATTAATATTCCTAACATAATGTTCCTATAAAAATATTCTGTCGACATTTTATTTTTTTGCAACCATCTCTATTTTTTGTCTTGAAAAACCAAATTCAACAATGATTTTTAACCATAATAAATGATTTTTAGAACAACAAACAACACAATTTGCACCTCAACAGCGAGTTTATTCTCATCAGCAAGCGCAGAATGCCTCGAACATGTTCGATAATCGGTTGGAAATAATTTATTTAAATTTATATAAAAAGATTCCACCGATGAGAATAAATTTCTTGTTAATAAATGCCACTTTAGTATGATGGCTCAACAGGCAATGCAGTATGGTCAACAACAATATCAACAACGCTTTTAAATTTTTGGTTTCCAAAACAGTTTGCTGCACTTTATATTAACATACATTCCGTAATATATAAGATGCAACCTAACATGTGGCGATGAAAAATACATATTTCTCATACGTCGATTTATAACTATAAATCTTAAATATGTTTCAACAATTTTCCAATTTTCTTCATTTTAAATTATGAATTTGTAATTTATTCTATTCCCAACTGGTACTGTATGTAAACTAAACACTTTTTATTATATATTTTTTACTAAGTTTTACTAAGTTTACTAAGTTTGATGAATTTGGCTATATTTCACGAGTCATGAAATGCTATGTTTTGGCTTGAATTTATGGCTATAATGCCGTTAACGAATTTTTAAATATGTAAAATTTTATTGAGAAACGAGAAAAAAAAACTAAAATGGAAAGGGAACACTGAAAAATGAAAGAAGGAAGGTTGGATTAATTGTTCGATTTGCTTGCCATTTTCATTTATTTATTTTTATTTTTATTTATTTTCATTTATTTATTTTATTTTTTTATTTATAACTTATTTATTAAATATTTATAAATCTGGTAAAAAATTTTGTTTTTTCAAGTCCAAACAACTGAAAAAAAGTCGTCGAAATATTTTAACAATTTTGTTCCTCAAAACTTCTTCACTGATCAATGATCAATAATGTTTTATATAATTTGGCAGACACAAAAAGGGAAAAGGGGTATCTCCGAATAATTTTGTGGTAGCAGTTTAAAAGGGCTGAAGCGCCTTATTTTAATAATCAGTGGGGGTACGACAAGGCGGAAATGATGCATATTTGCTATGTGAAATTGCGCTTTCCTGCATGTCAGATGGTTCATTTGGATTGATTCATTCCTTGCTTTAGTTTTTTTTTTCGTGTATATTCATTTTCATTTTGTTGAGGAAAAATTTTAAAAATTGTTAATTACTCATATTGAAAATCATTGAAAACCCATTCCATATGACTTAAATGTGAATCAATGGGTCGGAAAACAAAGATCGAAGTAAGTAAGGTTGGCCTTAAATTGGCTATAAATAAGACTTGGCTTGGGCGACGATGATGGCTATCGGCCAGCAAGGTTGCTTTTGTGAATTCCTTTTTTATTATGGGATTTATTAATGATAATTTTTACTGATAATGGCTTACCAATAAGATTTGCTCCTAATAATTATTTCATTGTGATAATTGGTTTTTGTGTTGTTGTGACTTTTTTATTGCAATAAGTGTAGTTGAAATAAAAAATTGCTTAAATTTAAAGTTTAAGGCCAAGTTTAAATGAGAAATTTGAATAAGGTGATGTAAGGTGATGTATCGGATGATATATTTCGTGATGAGAAGGGATCAATCGCGTTACAAATTTGCGCTTCATATTTTCATTTAGGTTTGCGAATCGTCAAACTGGTATTTCTACGGACCTTTTGGGTCCATGGTAGTTCTCAGGGGATGTGGAAGCCCGTTTCCCAACATATGCCTATTTTCTTTGAGCAATCAACAAGTGCCAACTTAATTATCGTTTTCTGTGGTTTCTATATTCAAAACCCTTAGGTGGAAAACAATATTTTCAAGTTTTAAAATTTGAAAATTTTGGCACTGAGGAAGAAGGCCTGGAAGAAAGCGCCCATTCGAGTAACCATTCACCACATTAATCAATATTTTCACCAAAAGTACCACGAGATTCCCTGAGAAAATAACTAGCTTGGCGCAGCCGATATTTTTTAAAACTCGATTTCGGCTTTGAATTAGGTACCAGATACGGAAACGTGATAAATTTTATAATTTGTTTCGCTTGGGTGGACGATGGTTGCGCGTGTGTCGTGTTCTTATGGTTTTATTCATTTGGAGAACTAATATTAAATAAAATTTATGTTTAATTATTATTCAAAAATTCACCTATGTGAGGAAGCAAAGAAAAATTTTTATTTATTTATAAAAACTAGTAATTTTAAGTTTTTAATGATCCCTTTGCAAGTTTTTTTATTTTATTCAAACTTAAGTTGTATTTTGTATTTTTATTTTTCATATATTTTATTATTTCTATTGATTGAAAATATAATTTTCATTTATACAATTTATAAATTATTTAATAAATTATAAATAAATTACATAAAAATTATAATTAAAACTAAAATTAGTTAAATTATAATTAAAATTATAAATTAATTATAATATATGTAAAATTATAATTAGAATTATTTATACAATTTAAAAAACTTTCCCACAAAATTTCACTTATTTTGTCGTAGAAATTTTAATAATAGAAAACATAGGGCGTTCATTAATTTGTTTGTCATTTTATTAAAAATCGAACATTTAAGGTTAATCGATGAAAATATGTAAATGGCTTTATTCTAGGATAAATGCAGTTAAACGTTCGATAGTTTTCAGAAATGTCAATTGCAAAGTATCAGTGGAAAAATTATCGAGCGAAACCAATTAACAAGAAAATTGTGCGTTGTTTTTTCTGTTTTTATAGTTTTTTAAAGCAAAAGCTATATTTCATTTTCCATGTTTCGAAAAATCTTTTTTCTAATTGTTGTTTCCATGTAAGTCGCGTCAAAATAAATTTGTCGATGAAGGCGAGATTTCGGATCCAGAAATACTCGCTGAAATGATTTATTCGCGTGAACATTGCTCAACTGATTCATGCAACAGCCGTATCACCAAAAGCGGTACTTTTGTCGTTGTACACTAAGTACACTAAGTTTATTTTTTTGTGGATTTTTTTCTAAGAATCCTCGCCTTTTTTGATTCGCACCACTGGCTCCATAGGGCCCAACAAATTTCGCTAATTATTTACCGATAGGTGATTCGCCAGCACCACCCTGTTTTTTTTAAATGTGAAAAAATTTTCGAAAAAATGTAGATAATTTCAACTGTCTTTATTTTTTCGAGCCTTAATTGTTATTGCAGTTCATTTTTTATTATATAGCATCCAGTGAAATTTTTATTTATTTTTATTAAATTTTTATTTTTAAATTTTTATTTTTAATTTTTATTTTTATTTTATTTTTATTTATTTATTTTATTTTTATTTTATTTTAAAATCTTTTCCAAGATTTAGGATTTATTAACCTTCATTGTTCTCGTGTTAAATATTATCAAATGAAAATGAATATTTAGAATCCGCAGATGATGTGAAGAAAACGGAGGTTGTGAAAAAGAAGGTGAAACAGGCAAAAGCTTTACGGAAGGCTCGTAGTCGAGGAGTTTCTGGTACCATGTCTAAAAAAGTCAAATCATTTGGTAATTGCTGAGTTCTTTCTCAGAAACTGTTGCTTAAGTTGTTGTTATAACTTGTTCTTATCAGATTCCTCTATTTTAAGGAGTTTTTCTTAAGAAATTTGTGCATATTTAGGCTCTATTGCAAATTGAAATCGTAACCTGGGCCAAACGTCATTGAGGCTTATAAAATAGTACATATTTTGTAAAAGTGGGTGAGCATCTTTATTGTAAATATTTATTATTTTGATTTAGAATCATTCCATCTAATCCTTATATAAGAAATTTAGACGATCTTGTCGATATGGAAGAAGTTGAGGTTGATTTCTATTCGTCGGATGGGTCGGAAAATCAGGAATGTGATGAAACAGATTCACCACCTTTAGCTAATGGTTCGTTTTGTTAATTAAATTTTTATTTTCTCGTCAATAAACTCTTTTTTTGTAAACATTCATTTTTTGCCATTGTCTGAATATCTTAGATATGTTTTTTTCCTTTTATCATTCTTATGCCTTTTAAGGTGTTAAAGATTGTTTTAAAAGTTTTCCTCATTCATTCACTAATATGTAATATTTATTTAAGGATGCAGGCATACATGATGGACGATTTGTTTTTTGGCCATCAGAATTATAAGTTGTTGCCATAAATTTTTTCTTTCCCTTTGTTCTTAAAAAATTTATACTATACTATATCTTTGTCATTAATCGATGTTGTTGATTTGCGATTAACAAAAGATCTTTTAGCTATTGAATCGATAACTTTCGAAATTTTCAAAATTCATTCTTATGCTGGAATTTTTGGGCTTATTTTTGAGGCAGAAATAGCAATAATATATTTAGCCTTTTTTCATACTATTATATTTATATTTATATTTGTAAATATATTGTACATAGATTTTTTGTCTCGTCGCAATGGTTCTTTTTTAAATATTGTTCTTTTTGTTTTTTTGATTCCTTTGTTACTCATATCTTTTAAATCAGTAAAAAAAATATTCGCAAAATGGAATAAGCGAGTAAAACACAAAAATGAAAAAATTATTTTGCAGAACATTTTCCTTCCAAAAATTTTCTGCACTCATTCGTAAAGTTTCAATCGAAACTCTTCAGCTATCAATTCAAAATTTCTTATCGATAATATAAGCCAGAATTTCAGAATGATTAATTTGATGAAGAGATATAGATTGGTTGGATAAGGTTATTCACCGGATTGTAATGGTTATTGTTAAAGTGATAAGCGGTCGAAGTGATTGTTACGTCTGAAATGTGGTGCGAATGTGGATTTATTCGTATTCTGGTTTAGAGAAGTATTGTGTTTCACTCGTTCTTATAAATATTTGGCTTATCTATTTAGTTAATCTTAAGTGGATTTTCATTTTTCATTCTGAATTTTTAGTAATATCCATTTGAATGGCTTTTAAGCGTCGTCTGTTTACTGTAATATCCAATTGTAATTTTACTTGGAAACTAGGCCGAAAGAGTAAATATTGTTTAAGTGCAAATATTGTTCGCACAAATGGGCACACTTGTTACCAAATATTTTTATTACGCTTTTTGTTTATTCGTTTCTTCAGCAAAGGCTAAATTAATCAGTCTATTGCTGTAAAAAAAGCCTTAATAAAAGGGATCAATTAAAGGGACGAGATCAACAAAAAGGGAAAATGACAAGGCAGTATTTTATATTGGTGTTAGCAATAACAATTCGTGAACAAATCGAGACGCGGAGACCTGTGGTACTTATTTTAAACGATTAAACTCGAAAGAGTCTCATTAAGTGTACTTTTCCATTAATTAATGCGTGAAACGAAGAAGTTGCATAAAGGATGTTAGTCTTTCGAAAAGATTTGCTTGAAAACTCGTGTTCAATCCACTATCTCTGTTAAATATTTATCAGGCATAAGTATGGTACTTGGCACATTTCAGATCAATAAAATCTCAAGTGAATATTAGGTCTTCTTTATGGAGGAGAAATGGCTCAGCGGGTTACCTTCATTTCGGGACGCTGGGACTGGAGTCTCTACGTGCGGCAGCAATAAATCTATCTTTTTATAATAAAATTTGTAGTACCATAAAAAAATATTTCTTTGAAACAAACATACAAACATAACTCTCATCTTCTATAACTGATTTATCTACCATACTCAAATAAGAAAAGACTTTAAACTATTTTGTATATATATATATTGATAAGGGGAATTATCCCATCGCTTTCTAGGTTTTAAAATTTTAAAAGAGTAACTAAGATTTCCGACAATTAACTTTCCCTTACGACAGTACGGGGGACGGGGTTTTTTGACAATAAAAACGGAATCTGTAAGAGGATTTGTCAATTAATCATAGGAATAGTACCGAACTACCGTATATTTCAATACTTTTCGGTGCCACCCCTTTATATTTTCGCAACCATATCCCCTCACCCCCCCCCCCTTTCCCTTCCACCTATCCACCATAAGCAAAACAAGCAAAGGGTTTCTTGCAATATTATCCCATAAGTTTATGCAGAACTGCCCGCAATTCGGCCGTATTTTAGTAACTGGAAATTCGGCTGTTTCAGATTGCGCGCCACTTTTTACTCGTTTGGAATAAATTACAACTTTCTTGGTGCAAATTTTTGTCTTTTTTGGTTTTCGGACAGCGACGGCGGTTTTGCAAAATTATCACCGAAGCGGTTTTTTATATTTCATATAAACCAACGCTTTTATTGATTTTGCCTTATTGTAATGTTTTTATTCATTTTCCGAGCAAATTTTTTTTCCTTATTTTAATCGCTCACGCAGTAAGCGATTCGTTGGCTGAGAGCGAAACGTTTCCAAATCTAAGTGGAAGCGCGGGGAACCTCTGCTTCGCGCGGCAAGTTCGGCCCAGGTTGCGCCTAAAGTTTTTCCACAGCGGTTGCTACGAGGGACGGCGAACCACATCGTACAACTAGCGGGGAGGCCGCGGTGCTTGGTGCTGAGTGGTAGAATAGATTGCTCGTTTTTTGTAATTTTTCTGTTTTTTCTTATTGTTAGTATTTTATTATATCGATGAAGAATAATCGAATAGTAGAATTAACTCGAAAGACGACTTCGTAATTTTGATAGAAAACGGTCTTCAAAAAATCCGTATGCTACTGGCGGCGATCAGTTGTCTCTTTGTTTTTCATTGCCTAGCAAAAATTTCTGAATTTGCTAATTGCGAGTGAAGTGATTCCAACCAGAAACGTTTTCTGCTAACCATTTAATAATCAAGGTTTTTTATAAGTTAGGTCAGCTTTCAATTTAAGTAACCGATTCCTCAACACTCCAACAAATCTTTCCATTTCTCTTCAGCACCCTTTTTATTTTCGATGTTTTTCTTCACCGTTCTCTTCTGTTAAACAAGGACCAAGGAAGTAAATGTGATGGTCTACAATAAAAAAAAATAAAGCGATAAAGGCGGAAGTGCACTGCCAAAATACAATAGGGGAGGATGAAGTCCAAAAAAAACTGGAAAATTTTTTACTAGTGTTGAGCCACTTTGCTTTATCTTTTATGCTTTGTCTTTCTTAAAGCTTCCATTATAGACGAAACATATTGCAAAAGAAAAAGTAAATGACAGTGGGTTTGTTGAAGAAGTATATGGAGGTTTGGAGGATAATGAGAATGAATTATGGGAATTTGGCGTCGAATGGAAAACGTCATATAAAAGGAATAATATAACGAATTCTGCAATTGATGTCCGAAGTCTTTGCGTTTTTACTAATTTTAATAAATTTCGTTATATATAAACAATTGTATTTGTAAATTTTTAGCAAAAATTAATGTATCATATCATTGGAGGATCTACCGAAGGAACTCTTCCACATCCTGCTAATGTAATTATATCGAAAGTGCAGGCAAGTGCTTTTGTCTCGATTTGCTTCAAATTAATACCTTTTTGTTCTAATGCTTAAAACCATATTTAAGCATTAGGGAGGATAATGGTATTGGAATATGTATCTTAGTTCTTTTTAGATGGAGTTATATATCGAAGATATATAATTATTCTGAAGAAAAAATGAAAAAAATGAGAAAAAAATGAGTTATTTTTGAAATGCGTTCGAAGAAATTATTCCCAGATCTATTTCCTTTTAATTATTTTATTTTTTAAAAATAATTTTACAAATGCCACTTTTAATTTTTTTTGAATTTGTTTATGATAATTATTTGTGTCATTAATAGATACTTGGTTTATTTTAATATTTCATTTTATCTTTCAAATATTTATTTTTAGTTTTCACCAGATGAAAATGCTCAACTTTTGGCAGTTTCTAGTTGGGATTGTACTGTTCGCATTTATCATATTCCAGCTGGCCCGATCACTGCAACTGAACGACGAGTTTATACCCATTCGAAGGCTGTATTAGCTTGTTGTTTCTTTGTTAGTAATTCTTTTTATTTTTCACAATTATTTCATGATTTTAATTGATAATATATAGTATAGTTAATAGTTGGTTGTATAGTTAATTGGTGCAAATTTCATATTAATTTAAAATCTTTTATTATTTTGATAAATTATCAAATTGCCATTTGTTTTATTTTATGGAAAATTTGCAAATGAGATTTACACATAGGTAGAATCTTTTGGGCCGTTTATTAACGGCAGAAGCCAATGGTAAATTAAATATATAGTTATATAGTTAAAGAATTTTTACAGAATCGGTCAGAAGTAGCAAGTGGTGGACTCGACAATATAGTCAAAACATTCAACCTTGAAGTTGGTTCAGAATGTGTTCTTGGTCGTCATGAGGCCCCTGTAAGATGTATAGAATATTGCAAGGATCAATCACTTCTAGCTTCAGGAGGATGGGATTCAATCGTAAAAGTTCGTAATCCTATCATTTTTATTCATTTAAATTTGTTTTGTTCATTTGTTCATTTAATATTATTATAGTAAATTCGGTTTTAAAGTTCATAAATGGGTTTATTTTTATAGTTATGGGATGTTAGGACAAAAACAACAACTGGTTTTGGTAATAATGGAGGGAAAGTTTATGCTATGGATGCTATTGCAAATCGCGTTATTGTTGGTACAAGTGAAAGAAAAATTGTTGTGTGGGATGTAAGGAATCTCGAGCAACCAGAACAGATTCGTGATTCTCCTTTGAAAGTTAATTTATTAATTAAAAAAGCGAGTTAGGACAAATTAAATAGGCAGCAACTGAAATTTTTCCAATTTTTTTAATTTTAATTTTTTTTCAAGAATGAAGAATTTGTGTAAGTCTCATAACAAAATAAAAAAAAAATTTGCAAATGAGTGAAATATAATTTAGTTTCAAACTCGTGCTATCAAATGTTTCCCGAATGGCGATGCATTTGTTGTATCGTCGATTGAAGGTCGTGTCGCTGTCGAATATTTTGATCAATCACCAGAAGTACAAAAAAATAAATATGCATTCAAATGTCACAGAGAAAAAACAGAATCTGGCGAAGAATTCATATATCCGGTTAATTGCATTGCTTTTCATCCAATATATAGTACTTTCGTCACTGGAGGTAATTAGTGCTTATTTGTTCCTTTAAATATACTATTTATAAAATGTCATTTGCTTTTTTTGATATCTTTAGCGACCTTTTTTCATGAATAAAAAATTTAGGATCGGATGCATTGGTTAGCATTTGGGATCCCTTCAATCGAAAGCGCATTTGTCAACTACATAAGTATTTGCGTTTATAAAGTTCAATTCACTTCATTTTTTTGTTGATCTTATGGATACCTTTTCATCATTTACTCATAATCCAGTTTTTAAATATAACCAGTTATATTTTCAGATTTCCTACAACTATCGTAAGTGTTTCATTTAACTCAAGTGGTTCGCAGTTGGCTATTGCAACATCATATATGGATGAGTTGAAAGAACGACCCAATCCAGAGCCGGAGAGTTCAGTTGTAGTTCGGAAAATAACTGATGTGGAAGCGCGTCCAAAGTAATTTAAGGATCAAAAATTGTAATATGCTGGAGAAACGGGAGAAGCTTTAGTAAGTTTCGGCGACAGTTGGATTTTATAAAAATTTTTTATTTTATTTTAATGTTAATTTTTTATTTTTTCCTCATTTCAAATATTCATTTGCTATTTTAGTACAATTCGAGCTATGGTCGGTTATTAGCCCTTATATTGGCTGAAGAATAAAATGGCATTTTAATTTTTTCTACTTTCATTTTTAGAATTATTAATTTGTTACATTGGAGTGCAATTTTGCCAATCAATCATTTTTGAAAATTATGTAGTTATTTGGCGAAATTTTGTTATGTTATATTGTATTAATTTTAATCATAAGAAAAGAAAAAACATTTTATTCGGGGTGAATGCAAAACTTACGTAATGAATTATTCTCGAATTATTAGAAAATAAGGAAAAAAAAGAAAATAGATTAGCGCTTGGCTACCACCAGACAAATATGGGAAAGTTTTAAATTTTTGATGTGGGAAATAAATTTTTTATAAGGCAAAGGCAATAAATGTTACTAAAAAACTGAGAGCTGAATTGTGCTAAGCTTAAATGATTCTATTTAATTTTCCTAAAGGCAAGTTATTGTGAAGTCGAAAGTTAAGGTTACTTTACTTAAGGTGATAGCTTATATTAATACGAATGAAAAAAATGTGGTTAATTCTACTTATGGGTTTGCGTAGTTTCATTCCTTTACTTGCCAAATAATTTGTGCAAGATTCTAATTTCACTTAAATCCTCTGATTTTTAATGAATTTTTTCATTTTGTGATTAACCGAAAAGTTATGGAAGAACAATCAGGTTTTAAATGGCGGAAAAAGTGTAAAAATATTTTTGCATAATCTGAAAAAATTGTCCGTATTGTTGCATTTTAAACGTGGTAGAGTGATTAAACAAATATAAATAATAGATATAAACAAATATAATGATATGTAAACACACGAAAATAATAAATATTAACACAAAAGGTAAATATAAAAATATAAAAAGTTTACATATATAGAATAAACATACAAATATACTAATATAAATAGAATATAAATGCATGATATATTAAAAATGTGGTCGGACGAATGAAAAAAAGTTTTAGAATTTTAAAATAGGGTTTTTTAACCAAAAGTTTAAATGATTTCTGGAATTTTATTAAATTTTTTAATGATTTATTTGAATAATTTTTTAGATATAAAACTATCATGTGAATTACGATTCGAATAAATGAAATTTTTATCAGTCATTAAGCCGTGGCTGAAAACAAGATATCAGTTTATCCTCGATATCTGCTAAATCTTGTGATGGATGGCGTCAAAAGCATGGAGAGCTAATTAAGACCTGGAAGAATACGGTGAGGGGAGATTTTGAACGCGTAGACGGCGATATACGGTGGGAGAATGAGTGAATTTAGTTAATTCCAGGAAGCCATCTGATATGGAGTTTTGGAAGGGTCTTCCTCATCGCTAGAGAGGTGATGAAGAAAATCATGCAACTCAAAAAGTACAACCTCATCTACGATCTCATATAAACTACAAAACAATCGTATATTTTAGAATTGTACCATTACACCATTGGCGTTAATATGCATTTAATGTAGATTGACTGGTAACTGCCTTATCATTTAATTACTGAATGCAACTTGGATTCACCCAAATTCGGGCAATTAAACCATTCAAAACTATAGGAATGTAGAATGTGGTAATAATTGATGGCGATTTTTTTGGACATCAAAAACTGCTAGCAAAAATTGGGCAGTTCATTATTTTGAAACATAATTTAATAGGCGATTAAATGATGCCATAAGTCCCATTTTTATAGAGGACTTTATTTCGTTGAAATTTTTCCAAAAAATCAACTGGCATACCTTCGTAGAAGAAACCGTAAAAAGTTTTTTTATAGATAGTAGTATAGTGGAAATTTCAGAAAAAAATTATTCTGTTTCCTTTCCCCAAGAGCATTTCAAAGTTGGCTAATTTCACTGGCTGGTCAGATCGAATATCGTTTTTAGAATCACTTGGCGAAAGTAGGTATAGATAACTCACATTCACCTGGATTTTTGAAAGGCTGGTTTACTTCTACTGTGACAGTACCGCATTCCAGTACCGCATTCCAAAACGACAACAATAGCCCATTCAACCATTTTATCAATTTGCTACTTATCAGTTTGCTTGGGTAAAATTGGTATACTGAATTGCTGGATCAAAAATGATTATAAAAATTACCAAAAATCTGCAGTGTTCAAGAGAAATAAAATTTTTTGTGTTATGAAACAACTGTTCTAAATTAACTTAGTGAAGATCGGCTTATAAAGTGTAATAGGAAGATTTTTCAATGAGTAGTTCTGTTCAGTTCAACTGCTGTTAGCAATGAATCCTTCGAATTTTCTTATCTTATCGAATAAAATTTCTTCTTCGATTTTTCAATTATTTAAGTGCCATCTAGTGAATCGTTCAATTAACTATTTGGTGAACTGCTGAATAATTATTGAAAAAATGGGTTATAATAATTATAATTATGATTCAATTGCCTTTTTGCTTGCATTGCTTATATAAAAAATTAGTGAAAACGACTATTCAATGGCATATTTCATTTTTGTAGTTATTATTTCCGTTCTTTTTTACATATTTTAACTGATAGCTTATTTATCAAAATTGATAAATTGCGGATTTTTATCATTTTGCATCTTAAATTATTCATTTTTTTATTTATAAATGAAGTTCACTTAACATTCATTCAAATGAATTTTATCGCCTAAAAAAATTTACACTTTTTTTTCGATAACTTTATGTAATTTATCAATTAATTAAGTTCTTCGCTCAGCCTACTCTTCTCAATAGCGACGAAGAAAATCAAAGTTTTTCTTCTTTCGAAGAAATTTCCAACTTTTTCAAAAAAACTAACATTTTTACCCATATAAGTAAATAATATAAATAATTTATGTGGTTTGTCTCGTTTTAATGTTTTGAATTGTTCATTTCAATCTTTTAAATATTTTTTTAAGGGAATATGTAATGAAGATGGTTTATATATCACTAATATTATCATTTATCAGTCAAATTATTCCACTGAATTCTCTTGAATTACGACTCACTAAAGGCCAATATTTTTCACATACTCTACATTCCGCTTCATTTTTTCAGCAAACAGGTTCTTGTAATTCCAATAATCTATGAGCACAACTATTCTTCGAATATACTGTGATACATAATATTAGACACTCGTAGAAAATTAGTTGTTGTTAACAAATAGATGCATGCGGTCGTCCCATTGCGCTCAAATCAAATGTCCATCTTATGATATTTGAATGAGACAGATTGACAGTTGACGGATGGATCAGCTAACTCCACCTCACGGCGCTGGATCATTTTTCCTTAGAATTATTGCCGAAATACACGGAGGCTAGTTGAAATGAGCTATTACAATACCATATGAATACCAACAGAACTGAAGTTCAGTTGATGTAAAATGGTCAGCAACAATTAAAGGACGTCCAGAATTGCCAGGATGGTTGCACTTAATGCGTTCCAGACATAATGCTTTAGCATATTTGCATGGTACACCAATCACGCCGGCAAGGCAAACAATAATTCATGTAATTGCTCGTCGTATCGATAATTTTGAACGAGCTCAACAATTCATCACTTTATCTTTCGATAACAATGGTAATTGCTTCTCTTCTTCCCATTTAACTGGGTTATTAAGATAAGGTAAGCCAAACAAGGTAAGCCAAGCTGAATTATCAAATTATCAAAATTGGCAATTTTCTATTTTCATTGTCTATGATGATTTTTTAATCAAATTTAATTGAATAAGAGTGATGAACTTGAAAAAGAATTTGGAAAAACTGAGAATGAAATAATTTAAGAAATAAAAATGATCAATCAAAGTTTTACGGAAATTTTCGGGAAAAGCATTTTGAAAAAATTTTTCAGAAAAATTTAATTCTACAACTCAGCAAATCGTAGAAATTCATGTTATGAATTTCGATGCCGAAGATTTTTTTACTGATCGAAAAGGATTAATAAACGGTCTGGAAAAGTCATTAGCCGATTCATTTAAAGGAAAAGGCGTTAATCCATACATTTATAATATATTGCCAGCGATTGATGCATCGCCACAACAAACTAACATTATTAACAAAAATCAGAAGTTTGGGTAACTAATTATTTTGTGAATAAATCACCAGTATTACCCAAATTCCACTTTTGATGTATTCCACCACGGCCAAGGCACCGCTCCAAGGCACCATCGTTTAATAAAAAATCAAAAGGCTTTCAGTTTCCATTCAATCACCTTCCTATCCTAAAAGTTGCACTGTTGATGGGGAATAAGGGTACCTGAATTTCGCTATTATTGGCAGATTTACCCCGAGAAAAAAAATCGAAAAAAAAGAATTGAACATATTTTACTAATAATGACTGACATTTTGAAATATTTTTAAAAATGGAAGGAATAATTGGTTTACTGGTGAAAAATATAATTCGGAATGGGTTTTTGGGCCTTTCATCCAAAGTATATCTATTTTCTATTTGTTTCTTGGAAATTTCTCTATAAAAATTCAGATCAATAGTTCAAGTTGGAACTCAGAAACATTTCCATACGAATGTTTTAAATCTCGAGCAAGGATTGAGAACAAATCTTCGATATTGCAATCGAAATAATTTGGTGCCTATCGACAGATATTACAGTCCACTATTTCAAGTGAACTGGTGTAATTTTCGTGTGGTAAGCGATTTTGCATTAATGGCGAAAAATTCAAAATAAAGCCATTTGGTTCATTTTTTAAAATATCGAAATTGGGGTCTACTTTTATTTATTGTTTTAGTTAGTGTTTCGTTCAAAAAATCGTTTCCAATCACAACGACTCTTTTTTCAACACCATTTATCATTTCTGGTTTGGCTAACTCCACTGGCTATTAAGAAGAGATAATTTCTCACTGGGGATAGAATAGCCCAGTGGGTTGTTGCTCAATTGGGATGCTGAGGCTCGATTCCCCGTAGGAGTAAATTTGTGCAAAAATCCGGGTGATGCTGGCGATTCGACTGTATTTCTATCGCTTAGACACTCCCTGGTATATTACCTAATGCGACAAGTCAGTGGAGCGAGTTATGGTGAGGATTCTTAAAAGAAAAAAATTTCCCACTATCGCGTGGATTTCATTTAATGGCGAATTTGTCGGTTCCTTAATCGGTTTCACTTGCTGAAGGAACTCATACGACTCAAGCACCATATAAATCCAAATATTGGCCAGTAATTTTCGCGTCTTTTTTTACTCAACGAGAGAATTCAGTTTTTTTTATTTTTATAGCCTAAATTCATCTATTGCTTTTATTATAGAAAAATACAACAATATCGAATAATGGCGAAACAGTGGAAACTATTCGATTTAGTAATGCGGAAATGGCTGACAACGAAATTTTATTAATCTCAACACCATCAGCACCAACCAGCGTAATCGACGAATTCCCATCGCCTTTAAGAAAGCGTTATTATTTTTGGGAGTCATTCCTGGTTATATTTGTTTTTTCATCTCTTTGAAAAAATAACTTTTAATTGAGTAGAAATAAAAGCGATATTTGCCAATAAAAGGGAAATTTTGGTGTTGACGATTAGTTTTTGCAGTTTTCTGAATCGAGAGAATAAATAAAATCTAAATTCTGAAACTATTCTTCATTTTTTCTAATACGAAAAAACGTGTGCAGCCAGCTTTTACCGAATGTTAAGGGAAGATAACGAGCTGAGACAGGTTTCTCGTCAAATTTTCTTAGATGGAGTTCAAGAAAGTAGTACCAATCGGTAGGGCACAAGAGAAAATAAAAGATAAAATGAGAGAAAATATAGCGGGGGTGATGCCAACATTATCCAAAAAATGATAAAATAGTACTTTAACTGTGCATTTATGATAATATTTAATTGTAACGTATATTAAAAAAATACTCTGAAACAAAAGAAGTGAGGCCTATTATAATATTTCATACTGGTCGCAATTATCTTTATCAGTTATTTTTTATTTGTAAATAAAAAACAAACAGTAAATGCGGTTATGCGCTTGGATAATGGCATAAAATAAGAAAAAATAACAGAGAATTATCATTATTATTGTTCATAATTAACATTTATTAATATTTGTAATCAGTTATCACAATTATCACTTAATGATGATTATTATTTATTGTTAAGCTTAAGTTTCGGCTTCGACTTAAAACATAGGCTGTTTAAAAGTTTAAAAGTTGTTTAAAAGTTGTTTGCTCGGGCTTAGGCTTAGATTTAAATTGAAAAAAGAATTGAAACCTTAGGCTGAGTCTCGTGCTTAGACTTTGTCTTAAAGTGGGAACCTACGGGGAGTTCATTTTCAGAAACATTACTGTTGAGTTTCACGTGTTTTTTATAATTAAAGTAATAAACCGATGTTGCTTTCGAGTGTAAAGGGTAACGTAATATATCTTTTAACTAGAAAATACGCGCATTAGTGTTAGCAAATCCGGGGAATGGCCTTTGACAAGAAAATTTTAGTTTCTTATTAGATTTACACTTCGATGGAAATTTGGTTAAAATTTTTGCAAATTGAGCATCTATGAAGATAGTTCAACGATAGTGTTGCAGATGTTTCCGCTGCTCGGCGTATGCTGCGTACTTCTTCTTATTCTCTTAAGTATAATATTTTTTGGTAGAAGAGAAGGACAACATTGGCGCGATTTTAAAACTCCAAAGTTACTTTTTATCGTCGGAATTTATTTTCTTAGACTTCTAAAATTTACGAAATTTTCATAAGTTTTAGTATTGAAATTTCCTTTAAAAAAATTAAGGAAGAAAATTATTAAAAGAAATTTTGAGGGCACAATTAGATGAATATCGAAGTATGCGGGAAGGACAGCGACATTTAAGAGAATTATCAATCCAACGACAAGCTCTTGATTATCAAGACAGAAGATCTCGAACTCCTACTGGTAAAGATTTCCTATTTTTCCATAAAGAATTTAATGGTAATTTAATGGTAAGAATTTAATGGTAAGGAATGGTTCATGCTTTTTCGATGGTCTTCGGTTTCTCGACATTTATCAGCTCATATACCTCTCCTTCTTTCGCTACTATTGGTTAGGTTGGCTTCGCTGGTTGCAAGGGTAAGACGTCTTCGAGCTGTTCGGTTCGATGCCACTGCTCAGAAATAATAGAAATTATTCCTTCTTCCATTTTGCTCTAATTTTCAATTTGTTTCTGATAAGATAACGTTTGTTCACTCAAGAATTTACATCTGAGAATTTATCATTATTTTATCAAACTGAAATTGAAATTATCAATTAAAGGAATTATCTAAGTGATATCTTTAAAAATGTTATATTTTCCCCAAGAATTTACATAATTTAATTCTTCCACTATTTTCATCTTTAGAATATTTCTTAAAAATGTAAATTAAAAAGCCAATCATTCGGTTTTTTTTCATTAAGACAAAAATAAAATATTTTTAGGTATTCAAACATTTCTTCAACCACGAAACCAAAACATTCGCTATAGTCCTTCGCAATTCGATCAGAATTCAATTTCTAAATTTGATACAGGTTTTAACAAAATTTATTTCAGCTTTTCCATTATTTATTCTTACCATTATACGAATTGAAATTTCGGGAAAAGACAAATAGATAAACGACATCATCACGCTCCACTAAGGTGCAATAGATATACTCGAACATAGAACAGACTTTGGGGAACAGACTTGCTGCTCGGATAAAAAAATCCTGTTGAGCGAACTTAGGCAGTCACTTATAAGTACCTAGAGGCAATATAATGCCTATAGGTATAGAGAATTTGAAATTATAGTAAAAACATAGGCGCCATGATGCGGCATTTGATTATCAAGATGAGTCGACTTTACGCTCCGATAAGCACCACCACCATTATCATCGGACGACAAATTATGTTATTATTGAAACAATTCGAGAATGAGTCCATAAATTTGACGAAAATCGGTTTATCAGTTATCTTTATCATTAACTTATGCAGAGAAAAATGGAACTACGGCTAAATTAATTGACACAAATAACGCTAACAATAATACAATAACAAAACAGACCGTGGCTGAAGCAGCAAAGGCTTGTGGTTCATCGCTGCATTTATATAGAAATCCATTTGAAGATAAGGAAAGTGAAGATGAAGAGGAGTTTGAAGGTGATAAAAATGATGTAAATAATGAAAGTTCAAGTGATAATGAATGTAAATCTTTAACTAAAAATGATTGATTATTATATAAAATTCAAATTTTTTTAAAATACAACGATTTCTATTGAAAATTTTTTTTTTCATGGAATTTTTCACCATTCTTTCACATTTTTTTTTTCACTAAACTTCAACAATCGAGAAAATCATAAAACTAATTTATATGAAATGAAATATTTGTTTCTGTCATTTCGATGAGAAATGAAGTTTTTGAAAGATATTCGGTAAATGCAAATCTCACCGATTTTCTTATTATTTATTATTTAATAATTTATTATTTTAATAATAATTCTATTGCAGTTGTATTCAAAAGATAACAAATAAGCTGCGAGACAACAAATAGTTTTCGCATAAATAAATATATGTTCGAAGGAAAAATTAAGAATTTAAAAATTTTCCAGTTTTTTTAACACCAAAATCGAAAAATTTTTATCAAATTCAAATATTTCATTTGTATTTCCTAATATTTTTCAATCCTCTTCTTACAACATTTACTACTTACGATTGTTCATTAGGTTAGTTCCACTGAGTTAATAGCAAAATATAAACTTTATTTAAAAGCGACTAAAACGGTGATTGTGACAATTCATAACGATTTCTTCCCAGCTAAACGACAACGACAACTACGTTGATAAATTGCGAGTCAGTTAAGTGAACAGCAAATTCCATCATTTAGAGTTTTTTTCAGAGAAATTCTAGAAGCGCAAATGAGATAAATTCAAATAAAATGATCTGTCACAATGATTAAAATTATTTTTTATTTTTATCAGTTTTCCGCTTTTAGAATATAAAATAAAAGCGACATATAGCCCTTTCTTGTTATTGAATAAACATTAAACGAGAAAAACGAGAAAAAAAATTTTAGATAAACAAGCGACTTAACTGAAGCAAACAAATATTTACCACTTACGATTATCCATTAGGTTAGTTCCACTGAATAGCTCCACTTGATAACAAAATTAGACGCTGAATCTTTTTGACTTCCTAGCAGGGGACCAAATCACGATGCTTAAGGCGGTAATTTAAAAGCATTTTAAGCTATTGCTGTTGCTGTCTCCAGGCAGCAATCAAGAAGAATATATCACTAAGGAAATATTTTCAATGATCTTTTTTCTTTTTATTTTCGGTTCATTATCTATTTTCCTCTCTCCAGTTGTGAGCATAAATCGAATAAATCGAAAATAATGCAGAATATCTAATGAAATTTTGTCGATTGACAAATAGAAAAGATGAAAAAAAAACATTAATAACATTTAAAAACAGCACCATTTTATCAAAGGCGTCGAACATTTTAAAATAATAATAAAAAAATATCAAAAGAACTTTATAAAATTCTGAATTCTAAAATAATTCTGAAAAATTCAAAAACTGAAACGCTAAAATAAAAAATAAGGAATTATAGTTGAAAAAAATTTGTTCAATAAGTTCCAAAATAAAATCCTTTTTTAAAATATTATTATAAATTTAAAATACCTAAGAGAATTTTTTTAAAAATAATTGATGAAATCAAAATTTTCTCATGAAAAAAAAGTCATAAAAAAGCAAACACCCAAGGGAATATCATGTCAAAGGTGTTGTAATGTCGAAGGATGTCTTAGCGAATTAATTTCGTATGATTAATTCATTTCGCCAAAATTTTTCTTAGAAAATTATTACCCTATCTGAAATATTTTCGCTGAGAAATAAGGCATATAATTGAAATAAAAACTAGAAAATTACAAAAAATGCAATCGAATTTAAATATTTAAAGCATCGAAATCATCAAATTCATCATCATTTGCAAGTGGTGGCGATTCATTGAATCCTTCTCGAATAGCACAAATTATATCGTCAATATCCATAAGTGATTGCCCACTTGTCTCATTTTCCTTAAAATTTTTGAAAAATTCAATATCCATAAGTGATTGCCCACTTGTCTCATTTTCTTTAAAATTTTTTAAAATTTTTTCAATAAATAAAATTTTCTGATCGATTCTCCATTGAAATTTTTCTTTTAACTAATATCTGAAAATCTATATAATCAAATATTATTTGCTTCCAGTTTTTTTTGCAAAGTTTAAACAAAAAAAATTTTGTGATTGATTTGTGTGGAAAATCAGAGAAGAGAAAAAAAATGAACAACTCTTTCATAAATATCGTTATTTTTATGTTCTTAATTTTTTGAATTTTCTGAAACTTTTTTGCAAATAAATAAAAAAGTAATTTTTGCGCATTTCATATAAAATAGTGGAAATAAATGCCTATGCATATTTGTAGAAATGTTTATGACAGATATTTAACGAACGAAATTATTGCGAATATGACGAAGAATGACCATTGAAAAAAAAAGGCAGACTTATTTAAAAGACACATCCTTTTTCCTATTCAAAAACAATTCGGATGTTCAATAATTTATACGATGAATTAAACAAAGCAATGAGATCCGTTCGGGTAAACAAGTTTCTTTTTACTCCATTAAATCGCAACTCTCTTAGATTTAAAGATTAATATTTGGAAAAAAAAACAAACTTTATGAATTTCATTTTTTGTAACACAATCCGTACAACTGTTCTTATTCACAACGTCAGATATGCAGCTGGAATATCGTTTTGTTCGACGTATACGACACATTTCGAAATTAAATGAATCGTCCTGCAAAAAAAGAAAAAAAACTGAAAAAATTCTAAAAATGTAAATTCTAAATTAAATTGAAAATTTTCTCGATATAACTTGCAAGAAAAATCTCTTACTTTAAAAAAAGATTAAATCTGAGACTTTAATTTTAATAGTACGAAGAGAGAGATTTAAACGAAACAAAAATAATGATTTCCACTAAAACTACACTAACATTATTTAATTAAAAACCAAGGACATAGGAAATGAAGAAAGCCTTCCAAGCGAATCATATTTATAATAAACCAATGATATAAAGCTCATTAATAAATAAATTCCTATCGTGAAGTTTCGATAAGGAAAAGGCGAAAAAAAATAAAAGCGCAATTATATGCAAAAAATTCAGACTTATGCCGCAGATGTTTAAGTCTACTGTGGTAGCAGAAGAAGTAAACCTGCAACATATCCACAAAATCTCGACCTACAATCCGACTAAATTATTTCGAAATTTGGGCAATAGATTTAGAAGCAATCAAGAAGAATTTAAGAAATATGAGGGAATATGGAGAGATGGCATACAGCGTTTCAGTCGGATTAAGGCAGTACGAAGAAGCTTCAGGATTTGAAAAGATGGTGAAGGGGCACAAAAGGATTTTTTGGAGAATTGCTGAGAAGTATAACCAAGTGTGGCGAGGGAATATTAAATAAGTGGAACGACTTCATAATTTGTGGTCCTATATCATTTTCGTTTTCCAAACATATTGCATACTGACATCAGCAAACTATTAATTTCAGAAGACAATTTTGCTTGCTTCTTAAAGAAAATTATAATTGATAAACAACCTCATTCGCACCAATCTCTTCTTCCGAATCCGAACTTTCATTGTAATAATTATCGAAACCATTTAAAAGTTTCTCAAATTCGAAATACATTCCACTTTTGGAATTTCGCAAAGTATCCGGTAATTCACTAAAATATAAATTATTTTAGCTATGGGCAACAAATTTCATTTCCACTTTTCTCTTCCAGTTTTTGCCAAATTAAGTAAGAAAACTGCAAAGATTAAAAGGTCGAAAAAATTCGCTGCTTTCTTTTTTTATAAGAGTAATTTAATTTGTTCAAATTCAACAGCAGCGAATAACTGCGACATTTTGTTCTGTGGCGATTTCTTTGGTACTAAATTTATAGAAATAAATGATAAATAACAACAAATCACGGATCCACTGACCTACGATCTTCCATAAATGCTGCAAAGAACGAAAAAAATACCCGCCGGATGGAACTGAATTATTTGCGATGACTTCTTCCTTTATCCCGTCTGCATTTTCTAATAAATCGGCTTCCATAAAATCTGTATTCTGCACAGAGTTCGTTTTATTTTCTAAATAATTTTTTTGGTAAAAATTATTTCACTTTTCGTTAAATTCCCGCGAAGAAATAAGAAGGGATTTGGAAAAAACAGGTTTTTTCAATTTGCATAAATTTATTAAATGGTGAAGTAAATTTTAAAAATTTTTAATATTTGTAATTCGATAAATTTTTTCAAAAAATTCTTTTAGACTAATTAAAATATATTTTAAAAAAAAATATAATAAAAAAATAATAATATTCGCAAAAAATAATAAGCGATAATGGTAACAAACAGTGAATATTTACAATATTAAAAATAATAAGAATAATAGGCAACAATAGTGAATAATTGTTATTATAATAATAATAAATATAATGCTGACAGATAAATTATTATAAGTAATAATAAGTAATAATAGCAATAATAATAGCAGCAAAAATAATTTGTAATGATAACAATAAGTGTTATCAATTAATAATTACAATAATAACAAAGAGCGGAAATAATAAAAATAAAAATATTAAAACCTTTTTTAAAAATTTTCTCGTAATTCCTCTTATCCGATAGATTATTCGAATTGTTTGACATTAAAATTGTTCTGAAAACTTTTCATCGAATATTTTGATATTTTAAAATTATTTTTAATATTAAAAAATAAATAGAAAGTGGAATGGAAATAAAATTTTATTGTAAAACTTCGATGAAATTTAATAAAAAAAAAGAAAATTCACGTTTTTTTTCTTTTCTTTTAAAATAATTAAAATATATTTTTAAAAAATTTTTGGAGAAATTTTTTTAAAAATTCATTAAGTAACGGAAAATTTGATGCAAAATTATATTTTCATTAAAATTTTAAAAATTTTTTAGAAAAAATAAATATTGTAAGCGAAGAAGACATACAGAGGAGCTATGGTGTTGAGAAATAGAACGTGGATAGAGAAAAAGACAGCGAATAGATGTGAGAGGAAATATGCAAGCAACGCGCTTGTAAACTGAGGCGTTTTGTTATGTGTGGCGGCTTGCTTGGTGTTTGATTCATGGAAGTGAGGGTACCCCATTTTTCGTTTTCTTGAAGTACCATTGTACCTCCTCCCTAAGGTCCTTTTTCCAAATCGCTTCATCCCTCCACGTAGGAATCTTTACCATTTCAAAATTTCACTTTTACTTGCTGTTCTCCTTTCTTCATCCTGAATTGCCACTGTATTCCTGAGGAATTACCTTTTCACTCATTGTAAAGTGCCATAGAAGTGTTTTATATCTGAAAGGATTTCTTCGAACGCCCACAAATTTATATTCTGAAGTACCACTGCTTGACACTAAATTTTGCCTTCTTTTCGGCTTTCATATTTGAAAAATTTTCATTTCAATTTGAATTACTTATGGAAATTGAAAATATTGTCGCAAATACGGTCTATATTAAAGCAAGAGAAAGTTGGTTTTCTTTCTTCATTTTTTTTTACTGTTGTAGACATCTTTTTAAAAATAGAAACGACTTTTGGAATGCTAAGAGTTCAGTTGAACTTCAATAAGTCAGACATTCTCTTTATTCCCATATGAAAAACTACTTTATTTTGTTTTAATATCAGTGGAATACTTAACAGAATCAAGAAAAAAGGAATTTGGCATCGGTTCAAATTCAAAAGTTCAAAAGTTTTTTTCGTAAATTTAGGACGTTTCATGGCAAAGTTTATAGTTTTGTTTCATATATTATTTTCAATAGCCGATTTTTCTTTTGTTTTAATTGGCAAATTCTTGTTTTTAGTTGAATTTCACCCACTTTTTTTTGTACAAATTTCAATTAATCGTGAGAATTTTCCCCCAATATCCATGAACTATGCAGCAAAAGCCGATGTTTGTCAAACGGCAGTAACTGGTGGATTTTCGAACGAGCGATTGTAGGAACGAGATGCTAGAAGATATTTAGAAAAAGAAAAAATAATTTTTAAATGATATTTAAAAGAAGAATTAGAAATATTAGAATTATATAAACTAATTTAATTATTAAAATTTAAAAAAATAAAAGGGAGAGGGAAAGCATGAAAAAGATTTTTACTATTTTTTTTTTTAAAGAATTAATTTATTAAATTCACTGGAAATTTTACGAAAATACCACTTAATTTTAATTTTAAGAAATTAATTCCTATAGAAAAATATCTCATTGAATATTAATTAAAAAAGATGAAAGAATTTCTTACATTTGCTTTAATAATTTATCAAAAAATTTATTAAAAAATAGAATTGTAAGGTTTTTGAATTCGTTTTAATTTGCGGTTAATTGATCAATTGGATCATCGATAAAAATTTTTTTAAATTGTTTTAATTATTTCCTTTAAATAATTCAAGAAAAATCGATTTTTATTTTATTTTTTCTCGCTTATTAGATAATATTTTTTTCTGATAAATTTTGATATTTTGATAAATTTTCTAATAAATTTGATTTTTCTCAATTAATTGCAAACGACTGTGTCTGAGAAAAGAATAAGATTGGGAAGAATAAGAATAAGAATAAGAATAAGATTGGTTTTTTTATGAGATAATGGAAAAATCGCGTCTGACGGTTTTTTATATCGAATTTTGCACTAATTCCAATGTTTTTTTTTTTTTTTTAATGTCTTTATATTTGGTTAAGTTCGATATCCATTGGATCATTTGGCAGTAGAAGTGTAGATGAGTAGCGAACATCGCCTGGCATTTTTAAAAATATTGACATTAAGTGCTTCCATATTCGCCATGGAAGATTTGTTTTAGATTTCTCAAAATACTCATTTATGCGCCATTGTATAAATGTAATAAGATCTTATATTTTTTATATTTATACTTTTCTAAAATATATATTTTTAAGAAAAAATGAAAAAATAGATATTTGCCTAATGAAAATGTTCTAAAAAAAAGATATTTTCATGCAAACGATTTCATCAAAAAATTCGATCAAAAATATTAATAAATTTAGAGGAAAAAATATTTTAATTAAAAATGAAAAGGAAGGAAAAAATGAACTGAAAAAATTCATCGAGTAAAACTCAATTTTTAACGAGTTTCGAATTTTTTAATCATTATTTTTATCATTTTTTTTATTTCGTAATTCTATCTTCAAATAACTTTAAATTGTTTTAAATATTTTGTTAATTTTAAATATTTATCAATTTATGCATTTAAATTATGTGCATTAACTTAAATTAGTTGGTGTGCATTGTATATATTTTCATTAAATTAAATTTATATGTTAGTGAAGGAAATTTTCAGTGAAAATAATGCAATAAAAAAAATTTTATTTCTGAATAAGTTAATTTTGAAATGATTTTAAATTTTGGCATAAAACACTGTTAAAATTTGCTGAAAGGGAAAAAATGCCTTTTTTTTTTGTTGAACAATTCGAAATAATTTTTCAAGAACATTTCCTTTTTCAAGTGTTATTTTCCGATAAATTTTAAATTAAAAATTTCAAGCACTCAATTTCTCTTCGTTCTATTTTTATGCTTGAATTATTATCATTTTGTATGAGAAAATAACTCGCTGTCATTTCAATACAAAAAAAAAGCAATTGTTTATTCGTTTGGTGGTGGCGTTCATTGTGTTATCTCGCGAGAATTCATGTCACCACTATCACTCCGTTATTGATAAACTTTCATAAATCACTTCATTTCGACTTTTCGTAATCCTTTATAAATTTTAATTTCTTGGAAATTTCTTTTCTTTTTTTTTAACATTGCAAAAAAAGAATGGTTTTTCTTTTTGATTTTTATATTGAATTGTATTGAATCACTAAATAAATGTAAAATTGTTTGTTAATTTTGTTTTTTTTCATTTTTTGAATTTTTTTGTGAGTTTTTTTACATTCTTTTTCAATGAATTTGCCGAATTCAGTAAGATTTTCTTAATAAAAAAAATTAAAAAATAGAAATATTCGTCGCTGAAAAATATATTTTATTTGAAATATTTTAGACCTTTTTTTTTTAAAACGCCAAAAATAAATATAAATATATACTTTCAGTAAACAAAAATGTATATTTGCTTTTTATGATTAGTTGAGAAAAAGAATTTAATTAACTTATCTCATTTAATTTATTGTTTTATTCATTTTTTACGTTTTTAATGGATTTTTTGTAAAGCAGATTTCGAATTTTTCAGGCTTTCCGATAGCGTAAAAAATTTTATTTACTAAAAATAGAAAGAGTTATCTAAATATTTTTTTATTTAATTTCAGCAATTTTCTAGTGTCGAATTTTTTTGTTCAATGCTTTAGAAGAATAATAAAATCAAGTAAAAATTGCAAATTTCTCTGCAATTTTTTTTATAAATTTTGAGTAAATAATGAAAATGTCTTTTTAGTTCGCCATTGTCACTTTAATGAAGAATAATAATTGATGGCAACAAATGAGTGGCTGATAATTTACATTGATAAAATGAACAAATATTAATGCAATAAATTTGCAGGTGGAGGGCAAAAGAAAGGTAAAAGCAAAAAATGGAAGATATACTTGCAATTTCCTCATTATACCGAATGCACCTATTTGCGATCTGAAATTGATGTCACGTAAGTGCGAATAGATAATATGCAATATTTAATTATCGATGGCTTTTTACGTTTTTTCTTTTTTTGAAGCAAATTTTATCGAAAAAAAATTTCGTTTTTTGTGAAAGTGAGATTTGATTAGAAAGGGAAAAAGGGATTTTATGGTAAATTAATTTCAGATATAATTACGTTGTGGAAAAGCAACCGATAGGCAAATTATTATTTGAGCAGTACTGCAATACAGTCGAAAAATATTCAAAAGTTTGGTCATTGTTGTTAAAAATTGAGGATTATGAGACATCGGACGATGACAAAGATCGACGAGTTTATTTGGCAAAACTTATCGCTCAATCTTTATCAGATAGCCATGAAATTGCTACGGTAAGTATTTTTTCCTACTCTCTGGCTTCGAAACCTTCTCAATCATTAGTCGAGCACATATGTTCAAGCACATATGTCCGTCTTATTTCTAAAGCTTTTTGCCGTGAATTTTTTTAAATTTTCAAGTTTTTTAGACATCGACAGAGCCTTCATGGTATAATTTTTTACCGGAAACATTAATTGCTCAACTTACCGCAGTCGATGATATTAGCTTTCAGGGCAGTGAACCACATGAAATCTATTCCCGAGCATATCAGTTAATATTTATTCATTATGTTCATTATACCGTTCATTTTTTTGGTTTTAATTATTTTGCTTCAGCATTGATTCTTTCCATTTTTGATAATTCGTTTAAAAATTTCAGAAATATTCGAATTTATCTAGCGATTGAACCATTTAAAGATTTCATTGAAACGAATTATTTTCTTCGATATTTACAATGGAAATGGTTGGAAAAGCGGCCAGTTGATAAACATACTTTTCGGTTATATCGCGTGCTTGGCAAAGGTGGATTCGGTGAAGTTTGTGCATGTCAGGTCGATTTTAATAATTTTATTTTAATCCGAAAAAAAGTTTAGGCCAAATTTTTTTATTTTTTGTTATTTCCTACTTTAAATTCGTCTTATTTTTATTCCAATTTTAGGTTAGAGCGTCTGGAAAAATGTATGCGTTAAAGAAATTGGAAAAAAAAAGGATTAAAAAAAGGCATGCGGAAACGTTAACATTAAATGAAAAACAAATATTGCAGAGAATAAATTCTCGTTTTGTTGTAAATTTTACTTTCGCATATTTCATAAATATTTATTTTTTAATATATTTTTATTTGTTTTGACTTTTTGAAACTTTTACCAGAGAAATATTATATTTGATTATTAATTGTTTTTTTGTTTTACGTAAAATTTCATTCCTTCCACTTTTTGAAAAGCGTTGGTTTTTTTAAGAGAAAAGAAGGAATCCCCTTGTGTTTACCAGCTGAAATTATTCTCTGTTTGTGGTTCAAAAAAATCATTTAAAAATAATCGATTTCATTTTATTAATTAGTTTCGTGTATATGAGTTTTCATTTTATTAAATGAATTTGAACATATATTTTTTAAGAATGAGGGTAAATTTATTACTGAAAGAAACGAAAAAAGAAATTTTTATTTTAGGTGAGTCTTGCTTATGCTTATGAAACGAAGGACGCATTATGTTTAGTGCTAACATTGATGAATGGGGGTAATAAAGTTTTTAATAATGTTCATATTTAAAAAGAAAAAAAAGAAATGATTTTTCAATAATTTCGAAATCTCATTTCGAAAAATTGTTTTAAATCTTCGGGGATTTGGTATCGAATTTCTCTCTTCAATTTACATTTGCGAATATTATAACATTTTTTAAATGAAAGCTTTTCAGGCGATCTGAAATTTCATTTATATAACTTAATGCCTGGAGGTTTCGAAGAGAAACGTGTGCAATTTTACGCAGCTGAAATAATACTTGGTTTGCAACATTTACATCGTGAAAGAATCTTGTATCGTGATTTAAAGCCGGAAAATATACTTCTCGATGATTATGGTATTTTTATCTTTTATTTACCAATTATATTCATTTGAGAAAATTGTGGAATATAATTATAGTTTTTTTCCTTTTATTTTTCTTAGGCCATGTTCGGATATCTGATCTTGGATTAGCAGTTGAACTTCGTGATAATGAGCCCATAAAAGGACGAGTTGGTACCGTTGGATATATGGGTAATTAATTTAACTAATTGAAATCTAACTATTTGAAATATTCATAATTTCTTGCTTATTTATATGTTTTATGCTTTCTTTCTAAATTCCTTGCATAGATTTAATTTCCTTGCGTAGATTCAATAATTTAGAAATATTGCTTTAATATAATCGAGTAATATAATAAAAAAAAATAAAAGATCCCGAGGGCTTTGATATAATTTATCGTTTTTGTCGATCTTTTGTTTCTGGGTTCATAATATAATGTTTTATTGTTGGTGAAAAATCTTTTTTTCAGCACCTGAGGTTATTAAAAATGAACGTTATTCATATGGTATCGATTGGTGGGGAATGGGTTGTCTTATTTATGAAATGATTGAAGGAAAAGTTAGCGAGGATTTGTTCTTTTCATTTTTTTTTTCGAAATTTTTGAGGAAATGTAGATCTATTTATTAGATGTCATAGTAACAACTTTTCAAATTGAGTTGTATAGTTGGGTTATGTTTTCAATTTATTAGTAGAAAAATATTTATTTTATTATAAAAATCGGAAAATATTTGAAAATTATTTTTCATACATACAATTATTTTTTATTGTCGAAAATAATTAATCAGCGCGGAATTAATCGTTTTAATCGTTTCTCATAAATAAAAAATCATTTAATCGGCTTATTAAATTCTCCGAAAATTTTTAAAAATGTGATAAATACATGCAAAAAAAAATTATTTTTAACAAATTATTTTTAGGCTCCTTTTCGACAACGAAAGGAAAAAGTTAAACGAGAAGAAGTAGAAAGGAGAGTTAAAGAGGATCAAGAAAAGTACTCGGACAAATTTAGTGAGATTTCACGAACACTTTGCAGGTAGGAATTCTGTAGAATTATTTGTTTTTTTATCTACTGCTTATTCTGTTTTCATGAAAAAAGCCCATAAAAAGGAAAAATGAGTGCAATGACTTCGCTTATTCATTTTTTATGCAATGTCACGAATTTATAAAATGTTTTTGCATTAATATTTGAAGAGGGCTATTGCATAAGGAAGCAACATTTCGTTTGGGTTGTCGTACGGTTGGTAAACCCGAAGAAGGAGCCGAAGAATTGAAGGCTCATTCTTTTTTCACTCAAGGTGATCCGAAAACAGGACGCGAACCTATGCCATGGAAAAAAATGGAGGCAGGAAAGGTTAATTATTTAAAAGATAATATTTCGAGAAGAAAATTATCTAATTGTTATTTTCAATTGGCATTTTATGAGCGTGCGTCGGCGAAGGTGTATATGGGGAACTGACAGACTCCTTCGAAATAAGAACAGGTGTCTGTCAAGGCTGCGTCCTTTACCTTGCAATATTTATGCGATAGACTGGATAATGGGCATTGCTTGTCGGCACTCAAGAGATGTGCAATTCAATCCAAAGTATAGCATTACAGACCTTGAATATCCTGATGGTGTAGTCCTTTTTTTGCTGACGAAATGCAATTAATGCTAAATAGCGTGTCAGAAACTGCAGCAAGAATAGGACGCAGGATCAATTTACACAAAACGAAAGTCTTTTCGTCTTATATATTAGAAGCTGATAAAATGCCTCTTTTTATAAATTCATTGCTGGTCGAGGAAGTGCGCAATTTTAAATACCTTGGGTCCACTCTAATGCCAAATGGCCAGGCAAAAGGCGATATTATAGTCCGGATTATGGCAGCTAGAAATTCTTCCGGTTAACGAAAGCTTTATGGAGCCATCGTGAAATTACCATTAAAACAAAAGTCTGTACCTATATAGCCGTGATCCCTTCGATCTTACTATATGGTTCTGAGACATGGCCAGTGAGAGTGGAGGATATTAAGAAGTTATTTGCCTTTGACCACTCTTATCTAAGGTACATATTACGGATACGTCGAGCGGATAAGATATCACATGATCGCATCCATCTTCGTTCAAATACCACTTGCATAAATAATATTATCACAGAGTACCGCCTTCGCTGGTTAGGGCATATTCTCCGTCCACCACAGGAATTGACGCATTTCTTTATTTGCTAAACCGTGTCGAACCGTATGATTGGCGTCAAAAGCGAGGTGGGCCAATCAAGACTTGGACTGATACGGTAAGGAAAGATTTTGAACGTATAGATGGACCCTTTATGGTCTATGCGATGGAAAAAGGAATGGCTTCTATTACTGTCGACGATGGCATCAGACGATGGTGCAGCTTGAAAACATTTTACCTTTATAGCCGTAGGAGCCAGTCTAACCAGTAATGATGAGAGCCGTTAAAAAAAGGAGAAGAAAAGAACTGTCATTTTCGCTTTTATTATTATTAAAAGTTGATAAATCATTTTTTTACTAACTTTGGCTTTTAATTTGAAAATCATATTTTTTTGAATTTTATTTTGGTTATTTCTCATCTTTCTCTTTTTGTATTTCTTGCATTTCGTATTATTCGTAGTAATAATACTAATTATGATGAGTTCTATTAATTTCTCAAATTTTGCAAATGGTTTTAACCAGAATTAAACTTTAGGTTACGCCACCGTTTTGTCCAGATCCGCGTGCTGTTTACGCCAAGGATGTACTGGATATCGAGCAATTCAGTACAGTTAAAGGAGTTCGGCTGGATGCCAATGATAATCATTTTTACAATAAATTCAATACTGGTAGTGTATCTATTCCTTGGCAAAATGAGGTTTATTTATGAAGTTTTTTACCTATTATAGAATTTCTCGACTTTTCAATACTGCAAATATAAATTATGCTTAATATAAAATAAATTCCTCTTTGGAATATTTTCATCTGGTATTGATAAATTGATAGTTGTTGGCTGTTTACCTTCGGCTTTTTTAATATTAAGATTGGCGAGATTATAATATTTATCCTTTTAAATCCTTTTTTATATCAATTAATTTTATATTTTTATATCTAAAATATTTTTTATATTTTATATCTAATTTAAAATGAAGCAGAAAGGGCCACATATAAATGGTGTTAAGAGGAAAGTGATAATTTTCTATTTTCTTCTATCAAGAAATCTGGCGAAAACGCTTTAAGTTTTAGCGCCCACCATTTTTAGTTAAACTTGCACTACCAACTCTTATATGGAAAATTTTAGAATTTTTTTTTTAGGGAATATTTAGCTATAGAAATATAGGTGAATTGCCAACATCCAAGACTTTTAAATAATGTTTAAATAAATAATATTAAATAATATATATTCGGGCAGAAACCGAACTATCACTTTTTAATCACTGCTACTATTCACTTCAATTATAATCACTGTCGACTATTCTATCCCCATAGTATACAAATATCTGAGAGATTTCTTTATTATTTCCCATTGGCCACAAGAAACGAGAGTGAAATTTTCATAAACCGTTTCGTCCTTCCTTAACTGTTTTTACATTCGTTTTATTAAATATTTCGCAATGAAAATGTTTTGCAGATGATTGAAACGGAATGCTTTAAAGAATTGAATGTAATGGAAGTCAATGGTGTACCTGTAGCTGATTTACGACCGTTGGATTCATCTGATGAAGCACTGAAAATGAGCAATAATAATAAACCAAGCCTTTTTGCGCGCATATTTAAACGAAAAGTTTATTTTTGATCAAATTATTATTGTTTTATAATTTTGTAATTGTTGTAGTAGTTGTTGTTTATTATTTTAAATTAGTGATTATAATATGCTTTAGTTTCTATTTTTTTAATCCCCTCTAAAATCTTAAAGACTATTTGTTAAGAAGAAAATGATAATTTTCTATTTTCTTCTAACAAGAGATCTGGTAAAAACACTTTAAGTTTTCAGGTTTGAATGTCTAATCTTTTACGTCTTTCGATTTTTTTTTTAATTGAAATTCTTGCTCAATATTTCTCAGTTGGTTTATCATGGTTACGCTTGATAACCCGGTATGTTCTTTTTTTACTTGATGTAAAATTCTAAACTTTATGAAGCGCCTTATATGTAGATTAATTAATCATTCGCGTGGGCATTAATTTTATAGCAGTTTTGCGGCCATTCTTTAACGACTAAATTTATAATTAAAAGCAATAGAACTTTAGGGTTTTTGAGAATATTATAATATTATATTGATAATAATAAACATAATATAATATTATATTGATATATTATAAACATTATTTTGTCATTTCGAAAAGTTTTGTTGATAATAAAATAGGGAAAAGTAATAAATAGAAAGAATCAAATACATTTCTAAATTTGAATAATTAGTGATTTTTTTAATTATCGTTTAATATGTTTTGCAGGTTCAAATAGTTTGAATTCTGCAGCGGTATTCGTAACCAATAATTGTTTTTCTTCGCTTTCTCTTTTCGAATTTCATTTATTTATTTTTCTATTATTTTTATTATTTTATTAACAGTTGGAGTTTTATTTAAAAGAGAAAAATTGAAAAAGTAAAGTGATGAAGAAGATAACAATAACAAAAGAAGATAACAATAGGTATATATTAGCATAAACTGATATATAAAATGATAAAAATAGGAAAAAGTTCTTTTTTCTTCGCTGTAATTTTCATCAATCCTCTGCATCAACAATTTGCTTTCTTTTCATGCTGCTTTACATTCTTTCTGTGTTCAATTTGCTATAAGAATTCACGGCTTTTTTTTGAATATTGTAGAAAATGTGTCACTCAAATGCATTTCTGAAATCGTTTTTTTTCAAAGATATAGGATTTATTGTTAGTTTTAGTTTTTCAACAAACTAATAATTTCTATAAAAAAGTATAAAAATATTTTTCATTCATTTTGATCTAATTTATGAAACGATTTGTGAAAAACTGGGAGGAATATTTGTTAGTCTTTCTCGTCGTTCAACAAATTTTTCTCTTGCATTTATATTTTCAATGTTTTTTTTCTTTATTTTAAGATGGTTATTACTTTTTAAGAAAGGTTATTATATTTATTATGCTTATGTAAAGATAATTTTAATTCTGATATATTAATCGACTACTAGAATTTTACAATTCTTTCTCGTTTTGAAAATCCTATAATCGATCTCAATTAGAAATGAACAAATTCGTTAAATTCACTATTTAATTTATGTTAAAAAGATAGCCCATCTTTGCATTGTTTTAATTTATTTATGGTTTATTTTTTAATTTCTCTCTCACTGTGCCATTATAAATTTATATATACATATATATTAAATATTAAAAATATTGTGCATTCTGAACCTTTTTAATAAATTAAGTAAGTTTATTACTCGATGATACCTTAAAAAATTTTTTTCATTTTTCGATCATTTAATCGTTTTCATTGATAAAAATTTACAAGAAAGTTCAATGAAGTTCAAAGCTTTTCTAATTTTTAAAAAAGTGGTTCAGAATGAAGATTTTTGTTAAAAATTCAGATATAAAACTATATTATATATATATATATATATATAAATCAAATCGGTGAATAAAAAGTTCTGTTATAATTGGATGAATAATGAGAAAATAAATATTGAATATTTAAATTATAGTTTAAATGATGAAAAGCGAAGTAATAGGATTATAAGTTGTTATAATAATTTATATTGTTATTATTATAAGTTGCTTATAAAGGAATTTCGACGGAAATTGTTTTAAAGTCCCAGCACGCATGAATTTAAGAGATATTGGCGGTGATTTAAGTGATATAAAAGCACCAAAGACGTAAAACAATTAACTATATTAAACAATATTAAACAAAAGGTTTGCCAAATTCATACTGGTACTGGTACCGGTTGAACAGTGCAATCTACCTCTTTCAGTGCCCACTCCCATCAAAGCAAAGTTTGTGAGCGTGAGTAATCATCGCTGGGAAATGCGGTGCTATACGAACATAATAACTAATATACGCAAATTTGAAGGATTTGAAGGAAAGATTGAGTCCAAAAAAAATCAGTCAAGCATTATTTTCTTGTCTTTAATAATTTCGCGAAATAAGAATGGTTACTTCGGATTCTCATTTGTTTTTTTTTTTTTCATTTAGTGATCATAGAACAAAAAAATACGTAGGAAGCGAAATGAGCGAAATTTCTTGGCGTAATTGCTTGTGAAATTAAGGAGGAGAAGATTTGAAGAAGGCATTAAATTCTATTAAATCTATGCTTTGACAATTATCTGGTAATACACGCTGGTGTGTATTGCATTTTTCTTTCTATGAATTGATTCTTTATGGATTTTGACAAGCGAGTGGTACTCATGTCGACGAAGCAGAGTCGAATTTATACTGCTTCCGCAACCAGTGCTGAATTCGTGCTGCAACAGCACTCAGCGCAAATGAGACAAGGCAACGTTTCTTATTATTTATTATTATAAAACATATTAATTAAGATCTACTTCAGTCCTAAGTCTAGATCTACGCTTCTCGCTTTTGCTTAGTCTTATAGTGCAAGCACTCTATAACTTATGGATCACAGAATGTGCTTATGGCACATTTCAAAGACTGAATCGGAGGTCTCTTCCGTTTTAGTCCCACTTGATTTCTTTTTCGACTTCGGTGGAAAAATTGCAGCCAATTTGTGGAGCACATTTGGTCATTTCAATTGATTCGTGCTGCAGTTATCAATGCTTTATCGAGTTATCATCCAAACAACAAGAAATGTGCAAATGTGGAAGGTTGAACGTTTAAACAATAATAAATGACAAAAGCTGTGGGCTCCATGTTGAATTATTCATGAATGAACTAATTATTATTAATGGATGTTCCATTTAGTTTCAATGAAAATGATGTATGCTAGGAATTTATGGCAAAATCAGCAAACAAATCTGATAAACTTTATCTGATAAACTTTCAGCGAAGCAGGGCGATATCTGTTCAAGTCAGAGAAGCATCAGCTACCCGAAAAATATCTAAGACTAGACTTTAACTCAGATTTTCTTGACCTCCTTCGTAAGAAATCTTCAAAAGAAATATGCTCCTCTATTAACGAAATATTTTTTTCTATATTTTTTAAATAATTCTCTAAGATTAATCATATTATTTGAATTAATAAAGAAAAAATGAAAATCTTTTTGACAAATAAGCAAATAAACTTTTTGGAGTGCCAAAATTTTTTTTTCGAGAAAAGTTTTATAATAGAAGTAGGGAAAATTTTTGTGTGCTCAGCTGGCCAGCAGTTTGATAATTTTGCTTTATTTATAAGCATTGATTTGGCTTAATAATTAGAAAGAAATTTCTTTTCAAGAAAATTAATTTTCAACAAAATAGAAATGTAGAAAATACGACTTTCAGGCAATTATCAAAAGTATTAGAAGTATTAAAGTATTAATACTTATTTACTATTTAATGCTATGCGTGATATGTTGCAATAATATTTTTCAAAATCTGGTTTAAAGTTACTCAAAACTTTTTAAATCGCCACATTCTGATATATTTAATCTGATCCTCTAACTTTGCTTAATAATTGTTTTATACCACTGAAACGAATAGACGAAAATTAAGAGAAGACAAAAATATTTTTAAATCAGTTGTAAATGGAACACTCAGGTGAATTCATATTTATAATTTTTCATTAGTACAATATGAAATTTATGTGTGTTTTAGAAAAGTACAAATATTTTGCTTGACTTGTTCATCGATTCTTCCTGCCGATACATCGAACTATTTCAGATTTTTACTGGTCCCCGTTGGGAATCTCCATTTTAACTTAATGCATTTCCAGTCTTATATTGAAATCTTAATAAAATTTTGTTATACTTGTTATATTAAAAACTTTCGAGCTTCAGTCAACATTATTTTTTATGCCCTTCAACTTCGGCCTCGGCTGAGGGGTAAAATTTGCCCTTTGACATACAACTATTAATTTCACGCCATTTATGTCTACTGTTGATTGTTGGCAAAAAATATGGTTGAAAAGCTGAAATTATATTTTTCCAATTAATTTATTAATGGAGTTGAAACAGCTAAATGATTGCTAAATGATTGATTGCTATGCCACGATAATGTATATCCTATAGACATTAGAAAAACAATAGGCGGACTTGGCAAAACGGAGTCTACCATGGGTTGTGCCATCAGCAGATAGCTGAAGTAAAGCTAACATTGAGAAATCTCACCAGTGATCCGGAAAAGCTTGACTAAAGGCCTAAAGGCATCATTTTTTTAAATGCACAAAAATCTCTTTCTCACCCACTCTGGTGTGGGTCATCCTACCATAAGCCTGGGAGCTTGAGAGACTTAAGTAGTAACTTATTTCTAGCAGCGCATTATTCTGGGCAAAGATTTTTAGTGTTGTTCTTTTGAAGCCATTTTTCTATTTCGGGATAGCCCTTAGTACTCTTATTATCCATTGGGACTACTTTGGCTTTTATTTGTCATATCTTCTCTAGTTCCTCTTCCAACTCCTCATTTCTCTAGCTTTTCATATTCCTTCTTCCTTTTTTTCCTAGTTCTACTATATCAGGCAATGCTGATTTTTCTTCTCTATTACCACGATATCTGGTTGATAGGCCAATACTTGTTTGTCTATCTAGATGGAGAGTCGCATAGAACCTTGGCCTTATTATTCATCACGATTTTAAGAGGAATATCTTTTTCTGATTTTGAAAGGTCCATGCCATATACTGAGCAGATATTCCTGTAGATAGTGGAGAATAATAAAGCCTTAGAAAATTAAAAAAC